CAACTTTTTGGAAATGTGGTGCAAAAGAATGCGGACATTGCAGAGGCGAAAGCTGCTGCGGCAGCCATTGCAGAGATTGCAAATCGCTACTGCGCTCGGGAAGAAGGGCATTCTGCAGGATTTCCAAAATTCAATGCGCAGGTTCCTCTACCTCCTTCAGCAAAGGCAGACCCACCGTTGTTGCCTGCATCTGCCATTGGAAGTGAGAAGGCGTTTCAGGAGCAGAAAAGGCAAGGGCAAGAACTATGAGAAAGGGGGCAAGCCAGAACTTGCCAAAGGTGGAAAGCCAGAATTTGCAAAGGGTGGCAAGCCAGAATTTGCGAAAGGTGGCAAAGATGATAAAGGTGGCAAGAATGCGACAAAGGGAGAATTCAAAGGTGAATTCAAAGGAGAGAAAGGAGACAAAGGGAACAAAGGTCCAAAAGGACCCACACTGCCTGTTCCCAAAGCTTCTGGTTCGAAGTGTGCACGCATCTCTGAAGAGCCCGCGGAGGTGGTTGAAGCCAATTCGAACAAAATGCATGACAATGGTGCTATGACCGATGGCTCCAAGAGACGCCATGAAGCTGTTGAGTCAGCATCGGACGGTGAAAGTACCAGCAGTGTCATGGGGAGCTTTTCCTTCATCCCTGACACCGGCGACTCCCCGCCATTATTCCCAGTTTTGCAGTCGGGACTGCCAGCAACCCACAAGTGGGATGACAACTGGGTGGAAGCCACCATCGACTATGAAGAAGTTGAATTCAATGTGCCACAACCTGCATGGATCAAGGATACATATCACTGGTCCTGCACGCTTCTCAAGATGGGCCGTTTTGCAGAGAAGCCCATCACCTACCATGACTTTGTTGTGAAGGTTTTCAACAAAACCGCTACGCAAAGAAGATGATTGGCCAGTTCCGCAAGAAACTGACCCCCACGCCAAGGACCCAGGGTCCAGACTTCTGTGCCTTCTTAATTCACTGCAGGGTGGACGCATTTCTCAATGCAGGCTATGTCTACCAGCGTGAGTTTGCATGGCGCTGATGGGGTGATTGCGGATGACATGGAGCTGGATGTGGCTATTTTTGCATGTGCAATGTGCCTGGAATTTTTTGTGATGAATGCTCTCTGCAGAATCTTTGGGCTTCCTTTGCGATGAGCTGGACTGCAGGGAATTCGTTGTGGAGCAATTTCAGTGTGGCACTTTGACACAGCTTTTGGTTTCTTTCTACATCAATGAGAATGTGGACACGGTCAATGGATTACAACAGAGGATTAATTCGAGTACACAGGTATTTTTGCAATACATCTGCAACTGGTGTGAAGATGCGACTTCGTGTGCAAGTCCTCACTTGAGGTTGAACAGATGACAGCAATCGATACATATTGACAGCATGTATGGGCCTTTTGTGGCTTCGACTGGATTCAGCTGGATGGTTTTTGGAAAGCGTAGCAAAAGGGGGTATGGAAATATACACTCCCGTGCATATTATGTGCATGTGCTACGTTTCCTGCATGTAACTGGCATGGTGGCTATGCTTTGTTTTTGACAATGTGGTTGAACAGAACTCTGGAAATGATGCAGAACGATGTGAAGACATCTGAATTTGAATACAGAAGCATGGAGATTCATTTATTTTTGGATGATGTTGTTTGACAACAATTTTGTGGAGAAGAACTTCGTTTTCTGTGAAATTCATTTGCACTTGATGCAATCTGGACAGCAAATGAATTTGGGATGAGTTTTTGGTGCGAACGTTTTTGAGGTGAAGTTTGACGTCGTTTTCCAACTCCATGTGCAAGATGTTTTTCAACAATCTCAACTGAATGTTTTCTCAACTGGACTGAAATTTTGTTTCTGGAAGTTGCCAAAAGTTTTTGCCAACGTTTTCGATGTTTTTGGAATTTGATGAGAAGATGCGAATGGACGATAATGTTTTTCGAACAACATGGTGAATTCAAACAAGTTGAATTCACCCCGTTTGTGCGTGAGAAGAAGTTTGTGGATAACGTTTATTTTTGCATGTCGCCGCTGCCTTTTTACAACACAGAGCAGACCAGCTGGAACAAGAGAAGTTCAAACATGCATGCTGCATGTGCACGACAGACAACTTGCTTTCGTTGTTTTCCTGTGTGGAAAAGGGAATTGAGTTTTGCAGTGACAGCCGTCGTGTTTTGGGGAATTTGGTTTGTTAAACGCTCGACGCGGAGTTAAGCCGACCCCATTCGACGTGAGGTGCGCGACTAGTGGTTGTAATTAGGTCCTGTTGGATTTTCGCACGAAGCGGTCACGAGGTCCAGCCTTGTCACTTTTCCTGCCTGCTTCCGCCAAATGGCCGCGACATGGACATCTACGAGGCATCGTGTCGGATCAGGGTTGTCAACCCAACTTTCATAAGTGGGCAGGGTCCAGTGTTTGGCCCCTTCATTGTGCCAGATCTATTGAAATGTTTGTTTCAAGTTGAAGTTGGTTTCACCAGCAACAGCTGCGGCTGATAGGCAGGCCCATTTTTTGTGTGTCTCCTTTTGGTTACATTTTGAGGACGAAAAAAGGGTCCCTTGTTTGTCATGTTGTTTTGCTCAAATTTCCATAGCCTTGAGGCCCGCGAAGCCTGTCTCGAAGCCTGCCCCGAGGTGTTTTGTTCCAATGTCCATGGTCTCTCCATACTGGAGTTCGAAATTTGTTTTATCGAATATTTTTTTTGCTGCAGTTTACCAACCACTTCAAGTTCAGCCTTGCTGGGACTTCAAGAATGTATTACAGAGTTTCGAGTCCCCGTGAGCCTCGCTTTGCATGGTCTCGACCAGGCTTCGCCGAGTCTCGAAGCGCCTTGACTGCAGGCTTTGGAAACTTTTCATCAACATAACAGAAAAAAGAAAGATGGTAATGATCAAGACAAGCAGGTACATGGGGCTGGTAGATATTGGTGGGTGGCAAGGTGGGGGAATATACCCCAAATGATACACGATTCAAGGAGTGTAATTGGCAACCACTGTGACCCGTCTGTGGTCAAAGTAGAAGCACTGGGAGGGAATCCAAATAGACACCTAGAGGTGGATGGAGGAGGAGATGCAGTGCTGATGCCGTCATCCGTCTGCGATCAAAGCAAAGCAGCCCTGAAATGTTTCAGAAAGATGTCCAAGTATCGTAGTGCGAATTGTTAAGACAATCCAAATTTAAAATGTGTGCTCAGGGGGTTGGATAGGGATGTTACGTTTGAGCGGTGGACAGAAGACAGGTGGGAGAAGCAACTACCATGACCCGTCTGCGGTCAAAGCAGCAGCACAAATAGATAAAATGGGAACAGCAGGGGGCGAGAGGGGAAGGGGGAGGCGAAAGCGGAAGGAGGACAGGTGGGGGAAGCAACTGCCGTGACCCGTCCAAAGCAGAGGCAAGGCGTCACCCCAAAAGGAAGCTGGGAGGAGAGAGTTGCTTGACTCAAGGAGGGGGTGAAGGTGGTGAAGGTGGTGAAGTTAATCTGCCGTGGCCCGTCCGTGGTCAAAGCAGGGGAAGCAGAGGAATAAGAGAGAGGCCAGGTGAGCGCACTTTCAGTATTCAGAAAGGCGGGGGGAGTGCAGGACGAAAATGATGAAAGACAGCAGTACCCGGGAGACAAGAGGGGGATGGGGCAGGATACCCTCAATCAATACTTTATAACTCTCCGAAACTTGTGTTGGTGAAAGAAGCAGAGGGTTGGTTTAGATTGCTTTAGATCAACTCGTACACAACCGTTAGCGCACACTCGTGGTGCCTCTTGAGCCAGAAACAGTATCGCAGCTGTTGATACAAAGTGCCGGTAGGAAGCACCTAGCCAGCAAATCCGTACGGAATCAAACCAATTTGAGAATCCAACCAACAAGGTAAAGACAAAGGTGTTGTTTTTTTAGCGCAATACCCAGTCAGCAGCGTGTTTTGCCACAAGAGATGCAATCGCATTAACCCCTAACTGTCTATGCCTAGTCAGGGGTCGTTATCGGTGGACGAGGGCATGATCGCACTTTGTGAACTGGGTCTTCTGAGGTACTGATGGTTAATTTGATACTCTGCCGGAGGAGCCAGATGCTTGATTCAAGTCACGGGGCGTCGTTTTCCGGGCTTACGTTACTGACGAGCCAGTAGATGAAGCCATCATTGCTTCATGTGGCGGGCAGCACGCTGACAGGATTCAGAGGCGACTTCATGTAGTTGGGATCATTGAGTTCAGCCCATTCAGGCAGGCAGGAAATGGCCGCCATAGCAAAGTAATCGCCTTCACCTAGGTGAGCATTGCGGTCTTTGGGATCTAGGGAGGTGAAGGCTGTCACACAGGCGCCTTTCGCAAGCCATGTGAAGGTAGTTCTAGAAGACGATTAATGACATCCTGCTCTCTAAATCCAGGAAAAACCAGTCTTGCGTGACGTCTACAGCTGCATGGGACAGTGCATCACTCAGGCGCACTAAGAGCGTATTCGCTCTGACTTGCTCGGGTGGTGAGGGCCACCACTGTAGTAACTACATTGTTGCCGTAAGTATCATTTGCCTGGTACAAGACATCGTTGGATAAACCCTGACGGGGAAACATCACTTCGTTCCTGCGCGTGACGTTTCCAAGGTGTAGCGCGATCAGGGCGCAGTGCTGCCCAGGCATATTCGGTATAGTCATCTTGGCCTGGAATTTTCTATTAACAGCCATGACTGTAACTTCTGAGTCAGCTTTAACAAGTCTTCTTTTCTGCATGCGATTCCCCAGACCGTTCGTTTGTGGCTATCAGTCATGCTCACACGCTCAGTGCGCAGAGTTTCAACAGATTGGAGGTGCCACTTGGGAATTTACCTTCACTTCAATGCGCCAACATGGAAGTTCAAAACTGGTTTTGGTGGCAGAGTTGTGCCAACACGTAGAGCAGTTGAAGGTGTTTCAGCAAGTTTCCAAGCACCAAAAAGTGATGTCCTGTTGTCTTCTTTCCATGATGCTGATGCAGAAGCAGTTAGAAACAAAGCTGCTGAAGAGAAGTTGGAAGAACGTGAAATGGTTTCAATGTGCCATGAGGACAAAACCTTTGATCCAAACGACAGAGAAACAACCCGTGATTCTGCAGTACCAAGGCCATCCCAATCTGAAGCCTTGGACACTCCTGAGATTCCTTCTTCTGATGCAGTGCGCGGGCGTGCAGGTGAAGTTGTGGTGGACTCAGTGTTTGATGATGACGATGCAGTTGATGCCTCTTTTCTTACAACCATGGAAGATCAAGTGGATTTGACGCACGATGATGGACAAAGTGCGCCTGTGACCCCACCAGTTGGTCCTATGCAATTGCCTCCAACTCCACGACAGCCTCATTCAACTAGAACTCATGAAGGCCAAGGAGATGCAGAACATGAGGTTAAGAAAGCAAAAGTAGGAGAGCAAAAGAAGCAGAGAATCAACCAGCTGATGCAACAGCACGAGTCCATGATACGTGTTGTCAAGGTTGGAACAGATGAGTTTGCAACAATGGATGACTATTCCACTGAGCTTGACATTAACGTTGATGTTCCGGATGATGAACTCTGGCGTGATGAGGATCAAGTGCAATTTGGTGAAGTTCCAGATGCTCTTTGGTCCAATCTCCCATTGGACAGGCCTCCTCCAACTCCTGAGCCTTGGGTTGATCAACTTGCAGATGACGAAATTGAAATACAAAGGTTGCTTGAGATGGGAGTTTTGCAAAAGCGTGAAGAATGCACTGATGAGGTTTGTGGAAATCTTACAACCAGGTTTGTCTATGACTGGTGTGTCAAGCAGCACAAAAGTGCACAGCAGATGTGGATGTGTAGAAGCCATAGAGTTTGCAAACTTGAAACGCCATGACACGTACTCACCAGTAAGTGGAAGACACACAGCCAATTTGGTTCCTCTTGTTCTCCTGAGGATGTGGTCAGAGTGTTTGGAAAGTGGATCCAATGACGCTGACTATGATGTCACACTGGCGCCACTGGATATCAAGGATGCTTTCCTCCAGGTCCCTCAGGAGGAGATTGTTGGTGTCTCCCTCTATGGCAAAGAATTGGTGATCAAACGCAACTTACCGCTTAGCCAGATGCACTTACTATGGGATACACAGCGTCTTCATGATCCACGTGGATGACCTGTTGTTTGCTGGAAGCATTGACTTTTGGAACAGCAATTTCTTCCAGCAATGACCCAACGTTTCAAGGTGAGTCACAATGAGTTGAAGGAAAGATGGTTCCTTCATTTCTTTTCTCACAAGGCACTTGGTGAGGCTTGCAGGTGGTTTGATATTTCCAGGCACAACTGTGGAGAAGGTTGTTTCATGCTTTGAAAAATACTTTGGTTTCTCAAGGGGACAAAAAGGTGCCTTGTGGTGCTGGTATCCAAAATGAGGATCACTCCCAAGCTTTGAAAGCGAGCGATGGCAAAACTTACAGAAGTGTGATTGGTTTGCTGCTTTACGTTGCGCGAGAACGTGCGGACATTCTGTTTACAGTGAAGGAATTGGCAGCCTGCATGTCAGCACCTAATTTGTGTTCCCTCCAGCGTTTGAGAAAGTTGGTTGGATACTTGAAAAACAACGGTGGCATGGGCATCAAACTGAAGGTGCCACAACATGGCGAAGGGAAATGGAAGACAGGAGGAGAAAAAATTTGGATGTTGGAATCTTTCACTGACGCTGATTAGTCTGCCAACAAGAAGCACCGTCAGTCCACAAGCAGTGCAACCCATTTCATCAATGGAAGCTTCGCCCATGCCTCTTCGAGAACTCAAAGCGTAGTCTCTTTGTCATCAGCAGAAAGTGAACTTCACAGCATGGTATCAGGTTGCTCAGATGGTATCTGCATAAAGCGTTGCCTTCAGTTCTTGGTGAATGAAACAGTGGAACAGATCCAATGGACAGACAACAGTGCAGCGAGACAGCTTGTGTGCCGCCAAGGTGTCGGCCGAATCCACCATTTAGGTGGCAAACTGCTTTGGATTCAAGGTCTGGTTTTGGAAAAGGAAATTTCAGTGGGACAAGTGCCAACTGAATGGAACTATTCTGATATCGGTACAAAACCCTTGAACAGAACTCGAATGCTTGTGTGGCTCAATCAAGTTGGTGCAATTGAGCCAGTCTCCATGCGTATGGTTGGACAGGAGGAGTTTGAAACATTTTCAGAAACGTTGTTGTCACAACCAAACAGTAAGAAATTGCCAAAGCTATTTTGCGGATGATTGCAATGATGGGCCTTGAGCCTCTTGTTTCAACCGGAGCTGAAGCCACAAAATTCAGCCAGTTCAACGAACCCAGCGGATCATGCGAATTGGCACCCCAAGATGCCAATGACTCCTCTGAGACATTTTGGCTATGGTCTTTGCTTGCTTTCATGACCTTGCTTAGGTTTTTTGTACTTTGAAGAAGTTGTCAAAAGACTTGGAGCACTGTTGGAATCAAGCTGCCGCAGAAGATCCGTTTTCAGGTCAATTGGAGCAGCGCATCAATGAATTGAACCAGAGGGTTGAGTTTGCAGAAGGTCTTGCTGACCGCAACAAAGCTGATCTACGAGATGAAACCATGTAGGTGAGTAATGCAGTCAGCATGACTCATGACTACCCCTCTGGGCTCCATTACTACATCGTGGAAAGCGGTGGCTATTTGAGGAATGGTCTTGGACTATCCCACCAACAGTGGACTCACTGAACAGCTTTGGAGCGTGCGAATTTGGTTGTTTCGCAAACTACGGGATCAGTTGAATACATGAGACTGGTTCGCCAACGTGGCAATCAAATTGGTCATGCAGACATCACTGATGTTGGAAACGCAGAAGAGTCAGAAAGTGCGACAGGTGATCATGAAATGGAGGTGGAGCCAGCAGCTTCATCTTCGATGATGACCCCAGCTGTGCCACAAACAATTGAGGAAATGGAAGAGCTTTTGAAGGCTGAGCACGAGATTTGTTTGGAATGTGTAAATTTTTGGGATGCAAATGCGATACAAAATTTGATTCTGGAATTTCTTCAAGTGGTAAGAAATGGAATCACAGAGATCTTATCTTGCTTTCCAGATGCAAAGCCCGTATGTTCGAAGTCTTTACAGAGCTTGGTTCAACTGCTATGCGAGGAAGCAGAACGAACCCAGCACAGCGCTACAATCGAATCTCCAGCATGTACCCACCACAAGTGCATGCAATGGTTTTTTTTGAAAGTGTTTTGACAGTCACAATGACTGTCAATTTGCTGGATTGAGATGCAACAGAAAACTATGGAAAAATGCGACAGTGATCAGATGCCCACAATCCCAAGGAGGAGTGCGTATGTTTTGCATTCCCCTGCACAAGGATGACACTGGCACAAATCGAGATGAATGTGTAACAGTTGCAGACCTTTGCACATGAAATCCATGTGTATGCGTTTTAGGCCCTCTCGGCTTGAAAAAAAATTGCGGCCCGCTTCACAAAAATTGATCATTTTTTCGGCCTCAATGCAGTTTTTCTTTGGGGGGTTCAGATTTTGGTCCCAACGTTTATCGATTTCTGGGTTTCCAAATTCAATAGTTTTTTGGGTTTAGGTTCATAGTGTCTTTGGTTGTTAAGTGTAGTGCTTGTTTAATTTTCATGTGTCTATATTTTGATTGTTCCTCTGTAGTTTTTTTGGGGAATCCCCAACGCACTTGGAACCAACCGCGTCAATCAATTTATATAGTTTCTTTGCTGGAGTTTTCTCGCAACTTGCAACCTTTGGCTTTGAAGATGCACGCTCCTAACATGTGACGTGTGATTTCAAATTTACTGATTGAAGGATCATCACAAAAATTGCGTGTATCAAATTATTGGCTGAATTTGTTTGAAACATATTGCATGTTTTTAGAAAAAATGGTGGGGAAAAAACAAAGAAACCTACTGGGGCGCATGCGACAAAACCCCGCCTGGCTGCGAAAATCCTTTTTCTTGACGTGGCTGTGAAAATTCAACATGGTCTCAGCATGTGAATAGAATTTGGTACGAAAACATTTGAATATTCATATTTTCATGCGAATCGCGCACACCAATGATAATTTTTTTGGTTCCAAACAAAAATGTGAACCTGGAATTTGAAACCTCAATAATTCAATTTTGAACCCAAACATTTTCAACTTGGAGGCCAAAAAATGTTTAAACAGTTAAACATATATAGGCCCCCAAGATCCTATGAACCTTCAGGTTCAAGAACATATAAACCTTACACCGTAATTAAAATGTATGAGCCTGAACCACTCAAAAAAATCAATCAGGTCAGAAAAATTGTGAGGCGTAGCCGCCCACCAAATCCACGCATATTTCAAGGAAAAGGAAACAAATTCGTTGAACCTGAACCAAAGGAAACTCTATAAAACCATACGTTTTCAAAACGGAGAGAAACTTGAACATTGAGGCCCGGAAGTTTTTGAATCTGAAGGCCCATTGCTTAGTCATTTTGAAATGTATGTGTGTGTATATATATATATTATTTTAATACATCTGCTTATTTAGCAACATATTAACATATTTGTATAAATATATGCATGTTGTGAGGTTCCAACATGGACATCGATATTACTCAATTTTTTTTACACATGACAAACGGTTGTTTGGGATTTGTGAGTTTGTTTCCTTGAAAGGAATGTATATCCGCCGTTGTAACTTTAATAAAAAACTTACGAGTTGCGGACAGGCTCAAGGACTAGTTCCTTTTTTGCGATGTTGGGAAACCTACTGTGCAAAACAACGCGTGCTTCCTTCTTTTAAAAAGGATCCATGCAACGCAGTCCTCGAAACCAGTTTCCAGTGGACATTGTTGAGGCAATGGTTTCCTAAACCCATTTGGCCGTGAAAATATGTGAAAAAAAATGACATGGCTCATTTGTACCTAGTTGGGCCCAGGGAAGGTCGAATGATCCTATGTACCAACTTGGTTGGTACAAATGAAGGTCCAAGTATTCCACACTTCACACTCGACGCTTCGCACTCTACAGTAGACACTCTACAGTTCACGCTCTAAATTCCACACTTTACAGTTCACACTTTACACTTTGCATTCCACACGATACACTCCACACTTACACTCCACATGCCACAATCTGGTATGGTAACAAACAGGGGAAAATTACAATGTTGTTGTAGTATATAATTTGTTTCCCACAAGTGTTTTACCTGATGTGCATTCGGGGTGGCGGGTTGGATCAAGTTTTCGCCTCAAGGTGGCCATGATTTATGACCGTTGCGTGTTTGATGTTTCATGGAATGAAACCAAATTAGGTTTTGCGGAATTTCACATTTTGTCTTTAAATGTGGGTGAGTTGGTTCAAAATTATTTGTTGTACACGCTGGCAAAACCAATGTTCACCAGGTGTTTGAACTGTTGTGCACCCTTTGGACAGCATGGTGTTGGGTGTCTTGTTTCGATTGCTTCAAACCGTGACAATATGGCACAGTTGGGGCTGCCAGATGTATTTAATTTGGACATATTTGGACATTCTGCCTATGGCTCAAGATATATGTGTTCACCGTCTGTCGATGGTTTCTTAAATTTCAACACATTGAAACATGAGCAACTGTCCAGGTGTGACGATTGAACGTGTGTTTCCCCCCATTTTCATTTGTTCTTAGTGTTTGCTTCGGTGACTTGGTGACGGACCAAAGATGGCCGATACCGCGTCCGAAACCAAAAAACATCCAGAATTTGCAACTGAGGAGGACTGGCGTGTCGACCTTGTGTGATGTGTGTGGACATGTTCTTGTGTGTCTTGTTTTGCGAAACTGCATGTTTCAAAACCCTGGCAAAGCGAACGACGTAAAAACCATCAGTTTGTTTTACAATCGATTGATCACCCTCAGTTCACGTGCTGATTTACATTTTTAATATGCAAAAAAAAATCATTTTCCAGGAAGAAAGTGAGGGCGAAGCAGAACGAGTCGAACCAGAAGCCGTGCCTTATGCAAAGTGCCGGTGGGATTTCTTTTTAAGCCACTGGTCTACATTATGTTGGATTCATTTTGTCAAAATTTGCGGAGTTTGAACAGTTTGAACACAAATTGAACCGATTTCCCAAATTTCCCAAGGCCATAAGCAGTCCAATGCCCAAGATGCAGTGCAGAATCTGCGCCTTGCGTTGTCTGAACGATTTTTGGGCGCCTCCTTTTGGTTGGACATTGAGCAGGTGCGGAAGACAATGTTTCAAACCAAAGATGTTGTGTTGATATTCTTGGACTGCACGGAAATGATACTACTAAATATATCCAAATACATCCAAATGTGAAGACATCGAACTCTCCGACGTGTTTTTTTCTTTGCGAGGATCCAACCGTGAGGGGAATGTGCAACGGTGTGTCGTATTCGCGCAATGTCTTGATCTTTCTGACGGAGGGCATCACCGAGAGCAAATTCTGTCAGATGGAGCTACGATGGGCTTTGGAAGCCAATCGGAACCTGATCCTCGTGATGGAAACGGACGACAGACATGGCAAACCCAATATGGAACACCTGATCCACAGGCAGTGACACTCATTTCATTCAAATTTTGCGCAATTTGTCAAACGACATGGCCACAAACCTTGGTTTCGCCATGTTTCCCCATGTTTCCCTTGTGCATCGTGCCAGGTGTCCTGATGATTTGAAGGCAGTCTTTACCCAGAATGAGATCATCCCCTGGTTTCGAGATCCAGAATTTCGATCAGTCAGTGTGGAGAAGATTCTTCGCAAGTGCGCACAGGACCCCAGGAGGGAATCTTCGTTTAGGAAGGCCGCCAAACCGCTTGTGCAGCTCGTTTGAAATATTTCAATTTTATATTTCAATGGCCAGCAATCCCTTTCCCAAACTCAGGTTTGTTTCTCCGGTTTGCTGAATTTGTTCCTATTACGTGTCGGGACTTCCCCACTTCATCTCAAGTGTGGATGTCTCTCTCCAAGGTATGCTAGTAAGGGGGGAGGTGATGACGGAGCTGAAGTCTTTGACAAGAGCTTCGTGATTTTTACAGCCATGTGCGGGGTTGCCCTGCCCGGAGTGCCTTGTCAAAAAAGTTCAATCGTTTGTCACGAGGAGATGCAGCGTCCTTGATTGCATCCTTTTGTTTTTCCATGCGTATCACAGCAGGTTCAACCCGGTTCACATTTGCAAATATCTTCATATTGAAAGTCCTGATGACCTGTGCCGTCAACTAAACTGAGTCCTTTGTACACCAGGGTCAATCTTTCTTTTCATGCTTTTGCATTTAGACAGCATCAAACCATTCTTGCTTAGGCAGGGAAAAGGACCAAATGCTGGGCCGTTGCAGTGCATCTCGACAAGTTTTCGAAGTTGTGGTTTTCTGTGGTCTGTGCAAGCACCAGTTTGTTGAATTGCATTATTGCATTCAGTAGACCTTTGCGTGCAATCATTGGATTACGTAATCCTACACTAATTGTACAGCAAATTGTCTAGTGTTTTTTTTGAAGTTGGATCATGTGGCTGAGGCGGATCATCTTGTTGACGTGCGGTATGATGTGTTGCAGCCGGCTCTTCACACCGGAAGGTCATCTTTTTTGCACCACGGCAACGGGGCACATATGGGCACAGTATGCTGTCAGAAAATGCAGTTTCTGACTGAACTTGGGCCGCTTAAGCCCCTGACTGTGGGTAAAATTAGTATCATTTTTGTTCAATGCATTGCATCGCCGTTGAAGACTGATTGCAGGTCCCGCTTTTCTCGACTACCTGACCATTGTGCAGATTGTTGCTGCGCATCCCATGATTTTCCTGCTTCTTCATGTGTCTTGGACACCGAACTTCACAGTTGAACTTCACAAGTGTTGCACGGATGTCAAAGGTCACTTGTGTCCAACAACTGTAGTTGTGCCGGAATACAGCATGTCAAATCATGTACACTGCATACCAGTGCAACATTTCGAGGTTATGTTGGTTCTCCTCCGCTCTGATATTGTTGCCGACCTGTTGGAAAACCATATTGACTGCGCCAGTGAAGCCTTGAGCTCAACGCAATCAACGGCATCCGGAAGGGCAGCACATGGCAATTTGTCCCAAAGGCTTTAGGAATTGCCATGCCGACCTGTCACGTAAGCCTGCCCTTGGCCATGCTCAGGGCAAGAAGTTGCGCTTCAAGACGAAACTCCTAACATGTTTGGTAGCTTTGCTTACGACATCTTTGTCACTCTGGGGCTGGGTTGGTTCCCTGTCTGCATTTCGATACCAGGATTTGCGCGACCTTGTGTTTGGTCATCCAAACTGAGCATGGAGCATGGAGAAACCGAGGCTACCTTCCAGGTTTCTTCCATCCCTACTACTTGACAAGTGGCAATGCTCTGGTGCTTTATGGTTCCTCAGCTGCACTTGCATATTTTGCCAGAGCCTGCAATAGAAGATTGCACTGCCCAGCAGATTCCAGATGATGCAACTTGAACAGTTGAATTCCTGACAAGTTTGAGCTTAGGCATCGCCCATGGATTGACATGGATCTTGATCCTGCCTATTTTCTTCGGCAGCTTTTTTGCAGCACTCATGATCATGTTCACGCTTCAGGACCTTAGCACTCAGTAGCATCCTGTAGCACTCCTTAAGTTTCTTCCTAGATTAAACTTTGACGAACTTTGATCAATCCGGCTGTGCGGCGTGGTTTTTAGGAGTCACAGTAATACCTCCCGCCGCACATGGCACAGTTAATCACGTGTGATCAGAACAGTCACAGATCTCCTTTCCAGGAACAACCGGACACATGGTAACTCCGCTTTCCGAATGCTTGAAGTTCAGATTCTTTTCAAAGGATAGGTTCATTTGCTCATTTGCACGACCTGGTTCCAGGAGCTGTGCAACATGGCGCTTCTGACTGCTTTCAATGAGCTGAACCATGAGTTTGAACTGGTAGGGCTAGAAGGGGTGGTGAATTCTCATGATGGTCTCAACGTGACGGAGCACGACCTTTTCCGCTTCCAGGCCCGTATGCAAAAAACGAAAAAATCTGAGGACATACAAATCCACACAAATTAAGCATTGTAAGATAATGTAAGATATCTTTAAGTTACAATTTATCACTTAGCTGCTAGCTGCGTGACAGGTCAAGTATGCCAAGAGCTATGAGCTGTACAAGAAAATTCAGTGGCAAGTTGCCATGCCACTGGCGGTGTTTTGGTTCATTGAGTTTGGCCTTGTGTTCCTTGGCGACCAAATTCGACTCATCTTTGCGATGAGTACCAGGCTGTTTGTGTTGTGTCCTGTGTGTCGTTTGCAATTCGATGCCTCACGATATCCTCACGATATCCTCACGATATCCTCACGATAACCTCACGATATCCTCACGATATTCAGCCTCCTTTCAAAGTTGAAATTTGCGTGAATCTTGACAATCCATGTGCATACCACTTTCACCTTTCCATTTACTCCTTATTATTCCTTACTCAGCCTTACTCCCTGGCTCAAAACGTCCGGAGCACGAGAGCACGCGGCTGAGGATTTGGTCCATCTGGAGCTTAGCCCAAGGCTTTGCCGCTGATGAAAACGACTGGAGGGTGCCACACTTGAAGAGCTATTGGAACTTGGTGGTAAGATTGAGTTGGTTCGTCGGAGGCAGGAAGTGGAAGTATGTGGAAGTATGTGGAAGTGAGATGTAGGGATTTTCCCCTGTGGTTTTCTGGTGCAAACCAAAAAAGTGATGAACACATGTCAAAACAGTCATTGTGGCACTTCTCCGACTTATCATTGCCTCTGTTTGTCTCTGTTTGTGGTCTTCATCTTGCCCCAATTGCCCCACAAAAGAAACAGCAGCTCCACAAGCGCAGGAAGTCCATGGTTTGGCGCTGGATGTTGGATAACTGCCATGCTGCCGTGGGGGAGCATCTACTATGCATGGAGAATGAACGATCTCACACGACGCTTAATTTTCAAGAATCCTTCCACAAGGCCAGTGAGAAGATATGACAAGTCAAAACACATTGTGTTCGTTTGATTCATTTTGCATCAACAGCGTACCTTTCAACTATGTTCCAAACTAAAGATAGATATGTATGTGTTATTATGTGTTATGTGTTGCTTCTTTCATTCAAGATTTGCCCAACTCTTTTGCTTGCTTATCCTTTGGTCTGGAGCGAGAGCGAGTTTGCTGTTGCGAAAGTGTTGCGAAGTTTGGCCTGTGGCTTCACCTTATCGGCCAGGCATGCTCTCCGTTCTTTCCTGGGTGAGTTCGCCCTCGAATTTCGCGTAAGTTTTATCCAAGCTACGCCGAAAGGCCTTCTCCTTTTCGTTCCAGTGCTGGTCATGAACACACTGGGCTTCATAGCAGATGCTCTGAGGCTTTTCAACTCGATTTGAGGGACTGGGCTGAAGTATGCTGAAGTGGAAATTGGAAAGAGTTCAAATGGAGGGGTAAGTAAGTCCAAGTCTCAGACTCTGACACGGTAGCATCGCACCCCGGATAGATTTTGTTCGATTCGTAGTTTTTGTTTTGTGGAGCCAATTGGCAGAGTTTGCACCTTTTAGCGCCAGCCGAAGGCTGAGACTGTATCACTAGGGACCCACTGTGACTTGACCTTGTGCCGAATGTGCTCATAGGTGCAAGACACAAAGGACACAAAGCAGGACACGGTCCCATAGCCAGAGACACTCCATGACACTCCTCAGGATTTTGGTGCAAAAATTAGACTCGATATGTTTGAAGATGGGACTGATGGGACTCGATAGCAGGCAAGCTGTAGCAGGTTCTTGCAAGAATCTTGAAGCCAAGAATTGATGGAACTCTCGCTGGATCCAATTGAGTTGGAACCGGCACAGCAAACATCTCTTTCGCTTGTAGATTTTCATCACGTATTCTCACGTGGTCTGATCTTTGATCCCACGAGCTGAACTCTTACGTCATTGACGATCACATGGCACGTGCTGTGCCGCTGTTTTTTCAAAAAAGTCTTCGCCAAGAGGTCATGCCAGTCATGCCATGACAGGCAAATTTGCCAAGTGTCTTTTTTGGCAAATTCCTGCACGTCTGGTGTCAACTTAGTGTCAACTTAGTGTCAACTCCTGCAGATAGAATTTCTGTTCCTGAAATCTTAAAGACAGCAACGATCAGTGTCATTTTTTCACCATTTTTTCACATGTGCATATCAGTGCCATCCAGAGTTTTTGCAGCCCTTTTGGCTGGAATTGCTTCTGGAAATCCGAGGGCATGTTGCTGCAGGGAGGCAGGGAGCATTCTGACGAATCGCCACAGATGGAAGTGCCTTCATGTTGCGTGATTTCTCTGAAACTTGTGGATCTTGTGGTGTACCAGTGCGCCATAGTGCACTACCAAGGAAAATATAGGAAACGTCTCTCTTTCGATTGGTTTTGGGCAAATGCAGATGCAAAGCTCCTCGAAGCTTTGAAAACAAGTAGCAGGATTTGGGCGTTCAGACAAGCAAATGAAGCAACTTGGGGACAGAAAGCACCTACTAAGCAAGGCACTAAGGAAGAAACGATTACAGGGTGCCTGAAGTTGTGTTGAAGCCAGGGTAACACTTTCATGTTTAGGATTTGTTTGGGCTGCTGCATTCAACCTGTATCTCAGCGTGTGGCTGCTTCTGGAGTTGAGTTTCGATCATCTTGGCTGAGTCTATTTTGGTTTGTTTGAATGCTGGGGATGCAAAAACAGTTCAGAGCATTGAACTGGCATCCAACAGTCGTGTCAATTCCTTGGCACATCCACTTCATCCTGGGAAATGTTTCGAAACGTTATTTTCTCACTTGATATGCAGATGCTCTTGGCGCTCTTGGCGCTCTTGGCTCTTTTCGAACTGAGTTTCACTGAGAAAACTGTGCCGATTGTTGGAGGCCATCCTGAGCATGTGAGGATTGTGAGGCTTCCGGGCTTTCGATGATCCGGTGCACTTGTGGCTTTTGAAGGATTGCAAGATTTAAATGATATACTGATTTTAACATATTTTAACATATTTAAAATGATATACTCATTTAAATTACCCAATATCATTCAATCAAATCTCAGATCCAGAATCATGTTTTTGGAGGTGTGAGTGGAGCTGACAGCTTGTCCTTGTCCTTGTCCCATGCCAAACGACGTGAAAAAGTGGTGGAGCCAAGCAATCAATGGTGAAGATTGACATACTGCAATGGTGTGCACACGAATTGATGTTGGGGGCAGAAACATTAGTTTCTCGAAGTTGGCTGACAAGGAATACCACTTTAGAGATTCTGCGTGAGCCACGTAGCCAAATGTCACAAGAAATCACAGTGCCCCATCGCTGTGCCCCTGTGCGGCAAGCATATCGGTTCTGTCGGTTCTGATTCTCGTTGGTTCTCCATGATCTCATGGGGCGTGTGGCTTGAAGATGCTTGAAGTAACATGCCATGCGTGAGAGCTGATGAGAAAAGAATGGTCTGTCTTTCCTTTCGAGTGCTCTTTGCAGTCCCTCCGTGTGGTTCGAACCACCCTTACATTGTAGTGAAAATGGACAGAGTTCCGTAACCACGACATTTTCTTGACAAATCCAGTGCTTTGCGCTTTGCAGCCATTTTTGGCTGGTGATTTGCAAGCAATGTCAAAACCTGCAATGGCCATGCGGCCATTGCTTTTCGCCGAGAATCTTATGTGGAGACACAGTTCCAAGCAGTTCTAAAAATATATATATATATATTATACATATATTATCATATATATATATGACATCATATATGTATATATATATATACGCATTATATGTATATATCGTCTATATTGTATATCATTCCCATGCTGTAGCTAACTCGGATAGTTTTCTTCAAAGGTTTTGACATTGCTCTGGGGCGAAGTGGCCTGGGGCAGACGAGGCGAGCAATTTTGCACTTGAACTTGGGACAGAGGGGGAAGTGGTTGGGAAGTGGTTGCCAAGTTGCCAAGTTCTCAGAATCATTCGGCACCACGAGTAATGCTGTAACGCTCCACTGTTTGCCGCAAGCCACAGTTCCAGCACTGTCAAAACCATTTGCTGACATAGCTGTGATGTTGTCATTCTATGTGATTGACGGACTTTGGCACTTCCCTTTCCTAATTGGTCTTTGTGAGTTTGAGACTCGCTACTGAGCATTGAGAGCAAGTTTAAAAGTTTCAAAGAGCAGGGCTTGTTGCTCATCTGACTTGAACCCAATCTGCTGCAGGTCGACAATTCTGGTGAGAAATGGTGCAGATGCAGACAATGGTGACAGTGCAGGTGCAGGACATGAACGACATGAAGGCATCCAAACTCGCAGCAGTGGACAACTTGAAGGGAGTGGACGTGATTTCCACGAAGGAAGTGCATACAGCCTGTGGAAATGAGCAAAAGCAATACTCGAACGAAGCTTTCGTTGCACAGCCGGTGATCACGGCGAATGCTGAGGACGCTGCTTCCGCTCCACGGGTTGCTCCAGTTGCTCCGGTTGCTCCTACCTTGAGTCAAAGGCTCTTCAAGGCTGCGAAGAAAAGCAAGGCGGTTTCTTGGATTTACTTGATTTACTTGGCCCAAAATTCAGGATTTGCTTTGTGTATGGAATACTGCCGCATTTGTGTATGCCTTGCTTCGCGTGTTGGTTGTCCAGTGCGCTTACAGTATCATTCATTTTCTCGAACATCTCAGGCTCAAACCAAAGAAACCTTTGCTGTACTTTGTTTTGACAGAGGTGATGGAGATGAGGAAGTGGTTGAAGTAAAAGAAGGCGGATGCAAACGACTCCTCTCCGTTTGCAAAGGTGTAACCAAAGAAAAACTCATGTCTGATCGTCTTGATTGTAGTGCAGTCGCCTCAATCAAAGCTTGCGTTGATCGAATTCTTGGCAAAGCAGGCAAAGAGTCAATTGCAGGAATATCATGTGATGTGGGCTACCTTTGGTTGAAGCACCAACGAACCCTTCGTCAAGCCCTTCCCAAGTTTCCTGTTCTGACGACGCCTATGATGCAGTTGCCCTTCATTTGGACCTGCTTCGGGAATGAGAAGACCCTACTTGTGACCTGGAAAGATGAAGCACTTTGTGAAGCACTTTGTGAAACAGATTCCGAATCATCCGAATCACATCACTTGGGCCACTTGGGCTTCCTGGAGACTGCAGGTATCAGATTGGACACTGATCGTGTGGAAATCCTGACTCTGAGCACATCAGATCTGGAGTGGTCACCGTTTCTCTCCGGAATGACAACACCGTCAGAAAATGAAAAACTTCTAAATCAGCTCGTGAACATGGTGCACCAAAAAGTCATCCAGTTGCTTGACAAGGCTGGGGCTGGTTGGACTAGGTATAGTTCTCACCGCAATTGATTCAGCTTCGGTGAGTGTATGCTGAATGCTTAGAAGACGGAGAACTAGTCTGAGCGAGACAATTTTTCACTATGAGGCAAGATACAGTGTAAAGAATTCAGGAAAGGCTATGTCGAGTATTTCCAGCTTCAGAAAAGGGATAGCATTCATATATGCAAAGTGGAGTCACCACGGTTTGGCATCGGCACTTTTTCGATTTGTGATTTATAATTTATGGATATTTATAATTATTTATGGCATCCTGATTGGAGCTTTTTGGAGCTGATGCAGGACGGTGTCAAAGGTGTCAAAGGTGTCGGTGTCAACAGCGTGGTTCTTGACAGCATGTTGAGTCCGTTCGGCAAAGAGCTCAGTGCGGCAACAAATTTGCCTGTCTTTGACGAAGTGTCAATGCTGAAGCTCTTCAGTTCGGCCTCATCCTTAAGTCACTTCAGCGATGCAAGTGTCTTGTGCCGCTTGGACGAGAAAAGCCAGTCCCAAAGAAGCTGCTTGGTTTGCAAATTCAGAGCCTTTTTGGAGAGGCTTTTGAAGGGATGCTGTCTCCACATTTCTCTGTCGCTGATTTTGGATGTGAGCTGCTTGTTGCACTTGTTGCATCACTTTGATAATCTCTGTCCAATGTCTTTTGCAGTCTGTTCTGATTTTCTTCCTTGTACAGTATCATCCGTACCATCAGTACCATAGCTTTGTGAAGTCTTCATACGCAGCCCTTTGCAGAACGTCTCTTCTTTCCGCGTTTCTCTTTCGTGCGAGATGTCCTGGTTTTATTGGTTTTTGTATCGCCTCGCGCCCTTTCTCGTTTTGTCATCTTTTGTCATGTTTTGTCATTTTTTGCCCCTTGTTCCAGTGCGTCCAGGCAAGATCGATGGCACTCGGATGGGCCTGGTGCGGTTGGAGCATGAGTACCCATATGGAGTGGGTGATATCGACCATGGAAGCACCTTCCGATTCCAGTCCTGTCCCGGGGTGGTACAAGGTCTCACGTTTGAGGAAGCACAACGTGGCTCAAAGGACCCAGTGATTCTGGAGAACCTAAAGCGCGTGGTGGACAAAATGGAGGCAGAGGAATGCTTCGGCATCGCTGGAAATTGTGGTTTCATGCATTTCTACCAAGAGTTTGTGAGGGACTATGCCACTGTTCCAGTCTTCATGAGTGCCCTCGTGCAAGTACCCACCATGGCAGCCGCTCTTGAACCCGATGAAAGGACCACTTTCTCAAAGTAGAAATTTCGGCCACTGTTAGACTTCTTGCAGGAATGTCGTCTTGCTAAAGTGGATGAGCATCTGATCATTCTTGTTCAAGTGGGATTGATGGTTCAAACGACTGGACATAGTGGACATGTTTCTCTGGATTATGTGGATTTGTGTACTTGGGTTGCAACCCGGAAACCAAAAATCTGATCCGTTCCAGGACCTGTTCTGTGACCAACAAAAACATGAATTGCTCTTGGTATGTCTGTTCTGTTTCGCAGGATCCTGATCCTCACAGCGAACGAGTCATCTTTCATGGAATCACGAGATGCACTTCTTTCGGCAGAGGGTCGCCCTTTTTGCGATTTCAACAGGGTCCTTGTTCGTGGTTGTGAGCACGTACCAGGCCAGCAGACAAACACAAACAAATTGACAAGAAAGATAAAGAAAGGAGACAATTGGAGACAATTAAAAGAATAGATAAAACAATATAAAACACATGAAAACACGATCCCTTTGCATGGCTGGACCCCCTTCATTCGGGTCCAGCCACTCTGGCAGAGTGGCTGAGTGGTTGCTTCGATTTCGCGAGCCGTGTTGCACATCCACTCCTTCATTCTGCCCATGTTCCAGAGGGCGATTTGGTTTGGACTTCCCATGAGCAAGCTGTCATCACTGTCATCACTGTTCATGCTTTGCAACGTTATGGTCAATCATTTCCGATGATTTGATGATTTGGAAGATCCTTTTTGCACTTTTCAATGTCTTTCAGAGAATCATCACTGATCTTTGCATTCCGAGCATTCCGTTGGGATCCTGGTCTCATTCGTCTCATTCCACTGTACTCCCATGGGGTTCATCCTGCTTGCTCACCTCTATCTCCGATTCTAGGTGCATCCCGGGAACTCCTCAGGGATGACCATGACACGTAAAGGGATGTCATTGAGAGCTTTACAATGCTTTCGAATGCTTTGGAATGCTTTACCATACTCTTGAACTTCGGACAATCGAGACTTCGAATTGAGACTTATTCAGACTAATCCAGACTCTGGACTCTGGACTCTGATTTAGACACTTAGACTGTGATGTGAGGCTTTGAAGCCGTGGCCAATGCAGATCTCGTGGACAACATCAAGGTACAAGAAAACCTGGGCGAATACGTGAAAGAGATCTTGGAGCAAGAGAAGGAAAGTGACAAGGGTCCGATCAAGTCGATTCTTTTGGAGTGCACGCAAATGCCACACTATGCTGCCGCCATACGCCAGAGTACTGGACTGCCAGTCTTTGATGTGGTCACCTGTGTGAACTTCTTTGCTTCCAGCCTTTGCCATCCTTTGCCCAAGGCCCAAGTCCTGAACGGCGTGAACGGTGATGCAAAAAAGTGCGACCATGACAGGCAATGCCCCACAGATGTCGAGCACCAAAGGAAAGGATAGACAGATAGCTTGACAGGTCTCAAGCATGCCGGGAGATTTTCCCCCCTTGATGAACTTGAGACTGCTTGAGGCCCTTCACCTCAAAATTTGGCAGCAAAACTCCAATGCCGATTAGAATTCAGACCAAGTCTGGAAACATGCAAGATATTTTGTAAACAAGCTGTGTAGTGTAATGCTGTGTATATAGTCTGTATACAAGCTTCAGTAGCTTAATCGTTGGCATTGGTACAGTTGAGGCATGCATTTTTGTAGCAGGCAGTGTCTGCTGTTTTGTTGAGCGCCAAACACCGGCGTTCCTGTCAAACTCGTCAGGACCAGTCTGACTCGTGAAGAATTCAAGCGATTGTTTCAGATTCCCATTGGAGCACAGTGGAGGGCGCTTCAGCGCAGGGCGCTTGTGCTCCAGTTGCATGACTGCGGGTCAAACGTAGAGGATCATGCTCTTCCAAGAAGAGGTTTCCACTTTTGATGGCGACCCTCACATGAAATACCCATCTGAATTTACATCAACATTTTAATTAGATTTTGTGCTCGTTCTCTTTGTATAAACATTTTGTACATAGGAATTCATTGCATGAAATTCGGACTTGCACGATGCATTTTTGGAAGCCGACAAAATACCCCGTGGTTGGCTCTTTTGTGGAGCACAAAGATGTGGTCCCACAACACATGTTGACACATGTCAAGACCAGTGTGAGACTGTTCAGCAAAGGCGTGGGAGAGGACTGTTGGCAACTGTGGGAATCCTCAAGATTGATTGAAGATGCTTGTAAAATGTTGCACAGAACCTGGTTACGAATTAAGGATGTTGTTCCATGTTGTTCCATGTTGTTCCATGTTGTTCCTGGGCAACAAGTTGGCAAAAGGAATGATGCAACAGAAGCTGACTGGAACCAAGGGGTACTGGGTCCTCTCCTCCTGAAGAAGGCCTTCAGGACAGGTAGAAGGCTGTTTCAGTCCCAAAGACACGGAGCGCAATGGGAGCGCAATGGGAGCGGCAGGTGTCGTTGCAGTGCAATTGTGAGCATTGCAAGAGGCACTTGAGACACTTTGCCAAAGGCCAGAAAAAAGGCCAGAAAACACCGTGAGAACATCTTGGAAGAAATGGAGCCTCGCAGATTTGCCCATGCTTGCGGTTGAGGACCTTTCCAGCGAAGATTCCACTGGGTTCCAAGCCTTTCCAATTTCATGGTGAAATCGCAGCCTTTCAGGCTCAAGCCCAATATAGAGCCCAATCCCGAAGTCGCCGTGATCCTTGGTGGGCTGTGATCCAATGATACCAAACTGAACATATTTGAACATGTTGAACATGGATATTTTTTAAAAAAATAAAAATTTCAACATGTTGCCGGCGTGTTTTTTTATCGTTTGAAGTTTCCAGCAACGAGTTGAACTCCGTCTGAGGCTATGGGCAAAGATGAGATGAATCCGTCAGAGGCACGATGAAACGTGGCGGATTCAGCCTCGCGAATCGACTGGTGGTAAATCATGGTAAATCTGTGCATATGTTTCCTATGTTTCCTTGTTCATATGTTGACCTGTCATGCGTACAATTTGGGTTTCATCAAGCGAAGGTGAAAAGTGCTAGGGAGGTAGTTCTAAGGGCGCTGTCCTTCTATCAGATTCTATATGATTCTATCCTTTTGATTTCTTTGGCCCGTTTGGCCTCTCAATGCTTTGAGATACAGTAATCGCTTGGGAAGCGGCACACAGCACTCTGGCCGTCTGGGTCCACCAACTCTGAGCAGGTGCTGGAAAAATGCATCGCGGGCGAGGCGATCACTGCGAGAATATGAAAGGTCCTGATAGGTGGTGTACTTCCTTTGGCATCTCGAAACATATAGGAACATCAAAGAACAATCAAATTTGGAGCCAGTTCTCAAGACAGACCCACGGAATACGAGCAATGACAAGCACGATATGCTCTCGATGGGAACAAAATTTGTTGCACTTGTTGCAGGTGCCAGAAGGAAATGCGCTCCCCCAGGTGGAGAGCTGTGCTATGGCTGCTATGCTGTGCTTCAACTGCTCACACCCAACATGATCCGAACATCCCAGATTAAGCCTAAGCTGTATAAGCATGTATAAGTTATAAGCTGTAAGATGACGTAAGGTGCAGAGTCCTTCGAAGCAAGAGTGGAACAAAATCCCTCAGCTTTTAAAAGTTTTGCACCGCTTTCGTCCATGTTTTGCGCAGTTGTTGCACATCTACTGCGAAGATTCAAGGCGAGCCAACTGAGCCGACAATGCTGCGTTGATTGTTTGTCGCACTTGCTGAGAAGTTACGGTGCATTTGCTGCATTCACCTTCCATGGCCAGGGCCGTGGTCCAGGCACTTTGCAACAAGGCGTGTTTCTTGACTTTGACTTTGCATTCCTTGGTACACGTCAAATGGCAACCATTACTTCGCACATCAGTTGATGCCAGCAGGCCACAAGCGTCCTACAGCAATCCGTCCTTGCCTCAGCGACCTCAGCGACCTTCCATCCGTGCAAGGGAAAGACTCTGTGTGTCCAGTCATTCAGCAAGTTTTTAGATGAGACTTCTTGCATCTTCTTGTCTCATCTGCCTTATTTGTCTTATTTGTCTTCCAGTTTTCATTCTTGGAAATGACCCTTGAAGATCCTTTACGCTGCGCAGGATGCAGGTCAAGCAGCTGTCCGTGCCGGTGCGTTTCTGGTAAACGCTGGCAACTGAGGAGCTGAAAGAGTTCCTGAAATCGTAGGGAACAATGAAAATCACATGAAAATCACATGAAAATCACATGAAAGATAAAACACTGAAAATTGGTGCAGGTAATCCAGAACGGACTTGAAACATCTTGAAACTGAGGTTGCGAGTTTCCTGGACAAGCGAAGAGCTCAGAGAATCTCGGAGATTTCAAGGGACCGGAGAGACCACCATTGCTCCACCAGTGCTCCACTAGACACTGTCACTATCTGTCACTAGTGTCACTAGCGGAGCTTGGCTGTGGACGTTGGTTTTGTGAGGCACCGTGAGGACGAGAAGCCGCGCAAGAGAGGCTCTGTGTGATGAAAAAGTATGAAAATAACAGAATTCTGATGAATTGTGCAAAGTAGAAGGCAGCGGTTTACTCTGAAACCAGTGTAAGCCTTGTCAATGAGTCTGATCATACATCACTCATACATCCAATACCCTATGAACTCCACTCCGGCAGCAGGCCGAGCGTCTGGATCTCTACCAGAGGCTGGATTTAGGATGACATCACACCTGTTCCTGTTAACTTTCGGCCTCACAGCCGTGCGATCCTTGTTGACTAGCTGCCTCTTCTGATGTAAGAATGCTCTCTTTTTGCAAAGCGACAGACCATCGGAAGAGTCTTGTTCCTTTGGAAGGCGAGCAAACCACTCTTGGAACACATCCTGTTTCTGACAGGAGGCCAAACCCCCGGAACCAAATGCAACCTGCCGGACACAGATACACCCAGTTCTGAACACGGATCTCACAGGAAGCGTGTCCGTGGTTTCGTCCAAGGCAAGAATCGAGGGCCAAGAGACAAGGCTAGGCTGGCTGGTCTTTTGCGACAAACAGCGGTGAATTTAGCACGAGTTGTTCTTCAGAATGGACATCTACCACCATATGAGCTGGCCATTAAATGCAATTAATCTATTAGTTAATTAAATTTACTTGATCCATTTATCCCCAGAGTCCTTCTGAATTACAGACATATGCTGTCACACCTGTCCCTTGCGCCAAGCCGTGCCTCGCAAGGCCACACGTGCCCAGGGCTGCACTATGTTGGCCTCACTGGCTCTTCAGGCAGAACTTGTCACTCCATGCACTTGATGCACTCGATGCACATGTTTGTTGCACACATCCTCTTGTAACCTCTTGAAGAACTTGAGAGAACTAGTGATAAGTATTGACAAGTGACATCAAGAGAATTTGTAAAGCGCAAAAAAGTATGAGCAAGTCAGACAGTCAGCATCCATATTTTCAAGATCCATCCTGCGACAGCGCTGACACAAGCTGACACCGACATCCGACAGACATGTGGACCATGTGGGTCAGGTCCCAGAACATGCAGGAGCCCAGGACGGCGAGTGCGGTGGAATCCGTGCTAGTTTCGAGCCTGACTTCTAAAGACTTCTGTTCATAACATGTCAATACAGCATTATACAGAATTATGCATTTCACAACTGTTCATAATCAGACTCTTCTCAGACTGTCAGATTTGTTCGATATCAGGACAAGCTCTTGGAGTTCTCCTTGGACAAAGTTCCCTCCATCAGAGAAAAGGCCAGAAAAGTTTTAGAACCCCTGGAAAGATCAACTTAGATCGCAGGACAAAAGATTCAAAGGATTCAAAAGATGCTGTGATATGCTTTGATTATCTTTGATTCACCACTTGTGAGGTATGTCGGATAATGTCGGATATTTTTTGATATTTTTTTGATATTTTGGTATTCCTTGCGCTTTCGAGAGCTTTCTCCATGTTTTCCCGTGCAAGGCAGTGCGTGGCCTTGCAGGGCTTATGCCTTCGCAGCTTGCAGAGATGGCTTTGCTTGTCCTGGCCTCGGTTAAAAGATTCATCAAGAGATCAGAGAGCAACGAAACTCTCTCTCTCTGCAATGGAAACAAACGAGAACCAATGGAACCATTTCTTTCTATTCAACTCTTTCTATTCATTTCTTTTAGATTCTTTGGACGAACCGGTTGACCGGGTCAAAGATCCTGAAAGATCTGAAAGGCCAGAACTTCTGACCCATGCACTGCGGTACGTGCCTCCGTCAGCCTGCCTGATTTGAGCGATTTGTGTCACTATTGGACTTGATGGAACGGCAAGGAATCGTGTAGCGATGATCAAAGACCAAGGATTGATATGGTATGATAATGATTGATATGGTTCTTTTGAATGATTCGTCTGATTAGTTCGTTAGGTGTGCGTCACGAATCATTTGTAGCCGGAGCATCTGCAGGCTGTGCGTGGACTGCGCATCTCGGTCACCAGTGTTGCCACCATCCTTGGAAGAATCGATGACGTCGAGGCAAGACATGCAACGAGCCAAAATGATATGTAAAGGACAATAGAAAATGGTGAAACAATGTGAAACATGAAGCAAGAACATGTTTGAACATTTCGAAAACTCGGTTTTCTGAATTCTGTGGCATGTGAGTGCGGAACAGTTCCAGCCTTTGTTTCAGCAATGTTCCGGAAATTGGTAGAGTTTCAATATGGCTTCATATTTCAAAAGAGAGCTCCTTTGTTATCCTTGTTCAGGAATCGCGTTTTCACATTGAGTTGCATTGAGTCATATTGAGGCATGTGTGCGGAGCCAGCTCTTCTTGAGGCCAAACCCTGTGCACCAATGCGATGGGCAGAGTGTCCATGATATGGGGAGAATCAGAGAATTTATTGACTCTGTATTACCATCTGTGATCATCTTTGAGTTGCCCTGGGTTTTGATCCTCTTAGGTTTTGATCCTCTTTCTCGACGCTTCAGCACTCATTGCTGATGCACTTTACACTCCCTTTCTCTGTCTCTCATCCTTCTCCTAATATTTCGGCCCCATTCTCCTCGACACAGTTTGATGCCAAAAGGCTTTCAGAGCAGCCATCTGCTGTGGATGTTCATGGTCTGTAGCTCAGTCTTGCTACCTTGGGTTCGGCGAATACATGCACTTACAGATGGAGCAAAGTCCTCTGCCCAATTGCCGACTTGAAACGCAAACCGCGCATTTGCCATACAATTAACATGTGACAGGCATGCATCCGAGGGCCATGATGTTGTCCTACCAACCAGGGTCCCTTTGAACATGCCAAGATTCTTTGAACAGAGCTCAGCTGTCCTTTACAAGACCTGTTTGTCACAGGACCGTTCTGCTTCTGCCACATGGTTTATTCATTGAATCCAGGATCTAACTTGATCGAACTATCACTTCTTTCTTCCAACTAAAAGAAGCACACAAATTTCCAATGGCATGCATCCAAGGGCCATGATGTTGTCCTACCAAACAGGGTCCCTTTGAACATGCCAAGATTCTTTGAACAGAGCTCAGCTGTCCTTTACAAGACCTGTTTGTCACAGGACCGTTCTGCTTCTGCCACATGGTTTATTCATTGAATCCAGGATCTAACTTGATCGAACTATCACTTCTTTCTTCCAACTAAAAGAAGCACACAAATTTCCAATGGCATGCATCCGAGGGCCAGGATGTTGTCCTACCAACCAGGGTCCCTTTGAACATGCCAAGATTCTTTGAACAGAGCTCAGCTGTCCTTTACAAGACCTGTTTGTCACAGGACCGTTCTGCTTCTGCCACATGGTTTATTCATTGAATCCAGGATCTAACTTGATCGAACTATCACTTCTTTCTTCCAACTAAAAGAAGCACACAAATTTCCAATGGCATGCATCCGAGGGCCATGATGTTGTCCTACCAACCAGGGTCCCTTTGAACATGCCAAGATTCTTTGAACAGAGCTCAGCTGTCCTTTACAAGACCTGTTTGTCACAGGACCGTTCTGCTTCTGCCACATGGTTTATTCATTGAATCCAGGATCTAACTTGATCGAACTATCACTTCTTTCTTCCAACTAAAAGAAGCACACAAATTTCCAATGGCATGCATCCGAGGGCCATGACGCTGTCCTACCAACCAGGGTCCCTTTGAACATGCCAAGATTCTTTGAACAGAGCTCAGCTGTCCTTTACAAGACCTGTTTGTCACAGGACCGTTCTGCTTCTGCCACATGGTTTATTCATTGAATCCAGGATCTAACTTGATCGAACTATCACTTCTTTCTTCCAACTAAAAGAAGCACACAAATTTCCAATGGCATGCCCGAGGGCCATGGTCCTACCAACCAGGGTCCCTTTGAACATGCCAAGATTCATTACAAGGACTTCTGGGGCTCTCTATTCTTAGTAGTGTTATTTCTTTGGGCTTTTCGAAAGCGTCTTAGCTTTTGGGACCAAGGTCCTGCAGCTTTAACACGCCTAGTGGCTGGACTGTCTGATAGGCGCAGAGATGCTTGTTGCACAAGGGAAAAACAGATGGAATTTACAGATGGCTTTGGCAGCTCTGGCAACTTTCCTGTTTTTTTCTCATTTTTTTCAGCATGTTTTACTGTGAACATTGAGTCTTTGAGTCTTGGCTTTGGAAGTCCAGTATTCGGAGTATTCGGGAGGACGAGCTCTGTCCGTACTGCTGCTGGACAAGCTGTAGATGCCTGGTGTCAGGCGGAAACTGTGCAAAAGCTGTGATGCTGTGTGCATATCATTACTATGCTCTCTATGCTCTGAGAGTGATCATTTGGAATCGTTTAGATGACCAGCTTAGTGTTTGTACTTGTTTGTACTTGACCATGTTTGAATTTGGAAAGGCGACTTGAATCTAGATCTTTTCAGCTAGCAGTGATAGAAGGATTTCTTTGGGTCAAAAAAACATTGCCTGATTTCAGCTGGCAGTTTTCACATCACGTGACTCCCGTGACTCGTCCGGCCTTTTGTGCCACATGCGCCACATGCGCCAGCACCTGGGTGGCGTCTTGGTTCTCCTGGATCGCTGCGACTTATTGAGCGACGAGGTGCGAAAAAGAGAAAAACAATTGATCTGAGATCAATATTTGATCAGATCTCATTGATCTCCCATGATATCAACTTTATATCAACATTCTTTTCCTGGTTTTCGTTGATATTTTCTTGATATCTTTGATATCTCTGGTCGATTTGTATAGGAGGTTTGAATAGTGTTGGCTGCGTTGCCAACAGTCTCCCAGCTCACCGCCACGGAGGCACTTGGCGAGACAGCTGCAGCTGCCCTTGGCAGCCGCTTTCCAGAGGAGGGTCTGGCATCTTAGTAGACAAAAGGCAAATTACAAAGGATGGCAAGTTTCAATCGACAAAGGAATGACAAAAGACAGCGTTGGAAGGAACTGTTTTCTTTACCACATGCTATTGCTATGCTTTTTATTTTTATTTTTATTTTTTAAAATGAGTTTTGATTTATTGACATTTGAGCCGGAGATGGCCACAAACATCTTCACTAGCAGTCACTAGCAGAGGCCAGCACTCGAAGTGAGGTAATCAGAAAATCTACAAGTCGAACCGAGTCGAACCTACTAGTTCAGCTGTATGCGTTCAGTTTGTATCAAGGAGATCTGCAGCTCTGCCTTTACACACCTTAAACATTCAACTACCCACCGACCCTTTAGAAGAGCATTCGATTCCTAGATCTCGACATCTCAAAGTTGTTCAGACCTGTTCAGACCTGTTTACTGCCCTGACACTCCCAAGACATCCCAAGACTGCAAAGGTCTGAAAGTTGTGAAGCGCTGGTTGGGGAGCTGCAAGGCCCCTGTTGCAACCAATGCTCAGCAAGCCTTCCTGCATTCTATTTACGCGCAAGTCTTCGACTACTTCGAGACTTGGATTTGACGATGAGACTCGCATTTATTTGCTAAATGTTCAAATGTCAGCATCATGCAGCATGGGTCAATATTAATGACCGTATTTTTTTTTGGTACGTACATCCATTTGCCAACTGTTTTGATGGCCGTTCAACAGATGTATCGTTTCAGGCCAAAGATGCAAAGACTCTTCCAGATGGACCTGGGCCAATTTCTCAGTCTGAGCTGGTGATGCTTTGACACCTATGCTTCGTCTTTCCAAGAGGTTTGAAGGAAAATACAAAGGGACGCTCCTGTACTTCAGGGCAAAATGGGTAAAACGGGTAAACTGAGTAAAATTGGTAAACTGAGTAAACTGGTTAAATGAGTAGAAACTACAAAGTTTCAATTGCCCTGAAATGAACACAACAAGTCCTGGCCCCTTGACAACCGCTTCCAAAACCAAAACACGAAATTCCCCAAACACCACAGCTCGAATTGACGCCAGCCAACACCTGGTCTTTTCAGCCACAAATGCCTGGAGCATTTTAAGGGCTTCGGCGACCCTTCGAATTTCACCTGGGCAGCAAATGTCAGTTGACATGCATGCTGTTGGAAAATCTAAATGTTGAAAATGCATGGGGTTGAATGCTGTTTCGCACTCCCCCTAGGTTCTGTGATGCTTCACAGAACCTATCTGGATTTCAGCTCAAGCCCTTTCTTTATGGTGGCGGAGCATTCTTGTAAATCACAGACCATGCATGCAGATTGCGCATGGTTTATATTTTCTCACTTTGCCACCATTTGATTGTGAAACGCGCACATGCTGGTGATCGCAGTGCAAGGGTTGATCAGGACCAAATCCATAATGTTTCTATTGGCCTATCTTGCAGTGCATGGAGCCACATGTTGGACACCTGGGGCATCGGTGCACAGCATGTGCGTTTCTCAACCCTCTGCACCCAGTGTCACAATGAAACCTTTGGCCATGTGGAGTGACAAAAGGAGGATATTCTCTGGTCTGGGTTCCTTGATGTCTCCGCTGGGCACCAGAGTTCGAATTCCCAGCCTCAGTTGCAGCCTGGGCGCTCGAAGAGCCGGCAGCAGCACTCATAGATCCTGCGGCAGCGCTAGCAGAGCGACCAGCGCGTGAGTGGTCGGCAGCGGCGCTCGAAGAAGGGACGGCGGCAGCGCTCGAAGAGCCAACAGCAGTGCTCTAAGGGCCAGCAGCAGCGCTCGCAGGGCCAGCAGCCATAGACGAACTCCTTGACCCACCGCTTCTCCTTTAGCAGAACACCGCTTATGTTTTCTCCGTGTCGATTTTCAGGTGGTACTGAATGGAAAAGAAGGCTCGGTCTCGGAACCACATTCGTTCCTGACTCAGCCAACGTGATTCGGCTGATGTACGGATAAATGGCAAACCAGGCAAGTACAGCTCCAGGCAGCAGTCCGAACGCAAAAACCATGAGGATAATGAAAAAGAATGATGGTCCACTGGATGGATCACTGAAAGTTTGCAGTGGAAACTCGGCTGCCAAAGCTGAATCTGACCGTCATTCTGTCCCTTGGCGATAGCCATCTGGGCAACCAAACTGATCGCTTTCAGTGCCTTCTTGGCCTTCTCAGCCTTTGACAAAACTCCATTCGATTCTTTCTCACCTTTCTTTTCATCATTTCCCAAAACATTCCCATCAGTCTCTTGTGACCTTGGAACTTCTCAAACGACAAAATTTTGGTTCCAAGATCTGCTGGAAGTTCAACTCCAGGAATGTGGCGAAGAAGCCGATCTCCTTGAACCGCTTTGGTGCGACGTATGTTCGCTCGCTTTCTTGGCGACCAGCCATGATAGCGATTGATGCCGTGTTGTCTGAAAAAGACACGGCCCTTGCTTTCAAGTCCAAAGCTTCTTCAAGGGCCCCCGAACTGCATCACCGATAGAGCCCCCTCCAAAACTTCAACAAGTTGAGCTTCAGCTGTGGAAGCAGTCACCACAGCTTGCTTCCCACTTTTCCAAAGAAGCAAATGATCAAGTGGCAGCCAGTGCAAATCTCACCAAATGATACATCAGTGTAGATGTTGAGCTGCTTCTCCTCGGGGTCATTCTCAAATTGGAGTCCGTGATCGATGGTGTTGGCAAGGTAATACCAAACATTCTTGGCCAAGTTGATCACTTGTTGAGGATCTCGGGTTATCAGTGATGCCAATCTGCTTACGCAAAAAGAAGATCTGGACGAGTCCTTGTTGAAATGCATACCAGCTCACCAATGATGCTGAGCTTCTTTCACAGCAGCAGCATCTTTTCCTGGTGGGTCATCACGGGTTTCTGGTTCAGACAGCAGAGGGATTGACACCTCCCCCAGACTGCGGACCAGCAAGTCCTTGGGGATCGATGTTTCCCACTTCATCTGACTGGCCTTGATGGTGGACTGCATAGTCAACTCATCACCCAATATCAAAAGATCATGCGCATAAACAAGCAGCAGGCCCATGAGCTGCTCAGCGTGGGTGGACGAAAATGGTCCTGGCTGAACCTTCAAAATTCTCCACATGTTCTGCTCGGTGACCATTTGATCCAAAATGAGCCAGCTTTGATTGGAGTTGTCCAAGGGAATCTTCATAGCAGCGAGTTGATCATCCCTGAAGTCTGACGACAGCTTGGGGCTTTCTTTGTACCCGTAGAGGGCCATCAAAACTTCCCAATGCTCATCTGGCTGGGCAAGTCCGGCAAGGACAAGTAGAGGTGGTGGTTTGATGAACAGGCTTTCTGCCAGCTCGAAGTTTCATAGGTGCATTCAAGAATGCAATTTTCACATCAGTCACATACCCGCCCGAGCCATGTTGAAAAGCAATGCCCAAAGCGGCTCGAAGCGCAACTCCAGTGGCGCATCCTGCAAACAACGATTCTCCTTGGTCAGGATCTAGACTTTGAAAGTTTCCACAGGCCACCAGTCGAGCTTTCTTTCGACCATGACGGTCTGTTGTAGAGGGCGTCACAGTCCAAACCATCTTTGAAGGGATGAGCTCGTTGAGGATCAATAGCAAGCAAAGCTTTCTTGGTTTCAAACAAGGCTTTGAGTTCAGCCTTGATCAGCTCGATCCATTCTTGAAGGTTTCTTCGAACTTCATGTTGTGCAACGATCTTCGTTTGAAGCGCTTCTTCCGGAATGGTGTTGACTGTCGTCTCTTTGAGGGCAGCAATGGCATCCACAGTGAGGTAGGAACCAATGGGATCATCCTCGATGGCGAACTTCATCTCCTCTCCTATTACCTTGCGGGTCTTCAGGACTTCCTCCTCCTTCTCCTCTTCTTTCTTCACATCATCCAAGCTAACATCCTCCACTTCTCCGTGAAGAGCTCCGCCATAGGAGAGATGATTCAAAGCCACCTTTCCCCTGATCCTGCTTGAATCTCATGTGGGGCCATCTTCGAGAACGATCCAGTCATCATCCTTCGGTGGCTCCTTGAGATGATGCATGACCATTCGAGTCAGGGCATAGATTCCGTCCTCCCTTTGAATCCAGTGCCCATGGTGAACCCAGGAGGGCGACCCATAGACTGCCTCCTCTTGCATCGGAAGAAGCTCACGTGCCCTCCAAAATCTTTCCGTGATCAGCACTGGAGCCATGAAGTTGGGAAGTGCAGGGCTTTTGCCAAGCTGAATGCAGCGAAGTCACTCGTTGGTAGCTGCCAGAGGCCATAGGCTGAAAGGGGCATCCGCAGCATGCAGAATTCGCCGGATCCCGCCCTTGATCCATTAACTGATGCCTCAACACGCTCGCTGATCCCCCGGCGTGTGCGTGTGGAGGATGGTTCTGGACAAGCGCCATTTTTCCAGAGCCTCTGAGCAAAATTCACCTCCGCAGTCTGTACGAATTTGGGTCCCTGTGAGCCCATCACTTTTGAGGCGCAAGTACATATCGATGATGGCCTTCAGCACGTCATGTTGCTTTTTGGATGGAAGAGGCGGGCAGAGTCGTGTGACGACCACCTTTGGAGTCTCTCTTTCTTCTCCTTCTTCTGCTTCATCTTCTCCTCTTGATTCCTTCTTTTCATTTTTCTTTTGAGCTTCAATGGCCTTCAGCTGTTTTTCTGCCAACACCATGGCTCTTTGTTCATGCTCTGCTTGACGCTCCCCCCAGACATCGTCCGCATCTTCAATTTCCACCTCCTCCGCCTCAGGATCGTCAATCTCTGGAGCATCTGCTGGAACATCGTGCGGATCCTCCTCCTGAAAGTCATCAGGGAGCTGGCCTGGTCCAAGCCAGGTGAATGGTGCAACGAGCATGTACTTGCCCTTCTTGGCGTTCAAGTCAGTTCCCAAGTGAAAGGGTCCAGTCATGTCAAGGCGCAACACACCCACTCTAGGTGGCTCCTTTCCACTTCTATGGTGTGCATCTTTTGCCGATGACTGTTGACACACCAAACAATCCTGGCGGAAAGGGGAGTGTCCGGCAGCAACATGTTCTTGCCATGACAAAGCCCTCATCTTCACATCACCTTTCATGGTGTTCAGCTGAAGAGCTGTGGCGATCTTTCTCATTATCATTGGAGGCCACCTTGATAGCTTCTTTGATTCTTGACATATCTCCTCCTTCATCTTTCCTTCCACTTCTCGGGGAACTCCTTTACGACCAGGCATCGGGACCGTGAAGGACCGTGAACTTGGGAATGTATGTACCCATTTAATCAACCAAGTGGTTGCGTAAGAGTGAAAATAATAACGGACCTGTGTTTATCCATGAGCATGGTAGAGGGCAAATAGATATATTTAACCGATGGTAAGATGATACCCATTTAATCAACCAATCGGTTACCTCATAAGGGGAAAAATAATGTACCTATGATACAATTCTACTCCACCAGATGGATGATATTTAGAAAAAGCTTCGGTGGTAGCCCCAACAGCCGCAACGTTTTATCTTTACAAATCTTTCTGAAGGGTGATGCCAAGCCAAGCCCTGGAAACACCTCAGCTGTGTTTCCGCGAGTTAAGTGACCACAAATCCTGTTGAACCACCTCGCTCTGCACCAAAATCTCCCGGACCTTCACCGGAACCTTCTCTGGAACCCTGTTGAACCTGACCTGCCTCTGCACCGAAGCCTCCCAGACCTCCAGAACCTTCTCCGGAACCTTCTTCGGAACCCTGTTGAACCTGACCTCGCTCTGCATCAAAATTTCCCAGACCTTCTCCGGAACCTTCAGAACGTTCTCGGGAACCTCGTTGGGCCTGACCTGGCTCCTGCACCAGTGCTCACCGGAGCTATTGTGGGCTGAAGACCCCATTAGCTTATGCTTGTGGGGAAAAACCCAAGAATCCATTGCCACAAACCCCAGATCAATTGCAAAACCTTTTGCATGGGTGACAGTTTAAGAATAATAATAATAAGAAGAATAATATAATATAAATATATATGAAATGAGTAATGTGGGGAAAATAGGTAAACTTGGTAAAATGGGTAAAATTCCTTATATAGATCAAACTGGTAACATGGGTAAATGGGTATCCTGATGGTTTCCTCAACATTGGAGAGTCTGTCCGCTCAGGCCAGTGCTCTTTGCACGCATGGCCCTGGCGGCCATGACGGAGGCGACCCGAGAAGAGGCGAAACGTGAGCAAGACGAAACGAAGGAAACATGTGAGGGTAACATATGTTAAGCAGAAAAATGTGCAATTTTCATAAATTTTCTATGTTTGAAAATCATGTGGCTAACGATCTGAAAGATTGCGAAAACATGTGACAATAGAAACTATGTCCATTCTGCCAGGTCCTCGATGCTGCCGTCCTTGTGCAACGGGCTGAAGCCGCTTTGGAGGCCAGGTCCTTAAAAAATTACACATATTTACAAGGCAACAATATCATACAATATCAAGAACTCGCAAAATTCGGAAGCATGCAACAACTCAGGACATCATTCTCTCGTTTTTTTTAAGTTTGCCTCACATTTTGCCCCACTTTGGCCAGGCATGTGAAAATGCATCGGGCAACAGTGCCTGGCAGGACCTTCACAGATTGAGATTGTCATGGCATCGATAGCCACAGTTGTCACAATTGAGACATCAGGACTACCTCCTCCGGTGAAGAACCCAAGAGCATTCCAGCTCCACGCATCACTTTCATCACATTCATCACATTCATCACATTTCAGTTCCACAGCTCCATGATCATTACTGCAAGACTCTTGCAAGACGGAATTGGAGAAAGGGGTTAACCGAGTTAGCCGAAATAAAAACAGAGGAATCAAGGGCACTGAGGCACTGAGGCACTCAATATTTGCACCGAGGCAGTTGCTCCACGTCGTGGCATTGGCAGATATTGCTGACGAGGTTTGGGACCCTGGCAGGTTTCGAACCGATCCAAGGGAAAGCAAAACTGCTTTTTGGTCCAAACAACTTGCTGTTCTCACTGTCTCGTATATTTCCCCAACAGCAGAAGCTTTGGGGTCTTCAGCCATAGTAAAGGTTTCGGAGCAGACCGGAGCAGCTCCAAAACCCATTCCCCCAAGGTTCCCAAGGTTCCCAAGGTTCACAAGGTTCCCAAGGTTCCCAAGGTTCCCAAGGTTCCCAGTGTTCCCAGGGTTCCCAAGGTTCCCAAAGTTCCCAGGGTTCCCAAGGTTCCCAACATTCCCAAGGTTTCCAGGGTTCCCAAGGTTCCCAACATTACCAAGGTTCCCAAAGTTCCCAAGGTTCCCAAGGTTCCGAAGGTTCCCAAGGTTCCCAAGGTTCCCAAGGTTCCGAAGGTTCCCAAGGTTCCCAAGGTTTCCAAGGTTCCCAAGGTTCCCAGGGTTCCCAAGGTTCCGAAGAGGGAGGAGGCGTTTCCAAGTTCCAAGGTTCCCAAAGGTAGGTTTCCCAAGGCTTGATTTCCGGAAGGTTTCCCAAGGTGCCAAGAAACCGTTTCCTCGTCCAAGGTTCCCAAAGTTCCCAGGGTTCCCAAAGAGTTGTCCCAGGTTGTGGGGGGAACCCTTTGAACATTGTTCCCATGGCGTGTTTCCCCCAATGGGTTGCGTCTTGGGGAGGTTTTCCACGAAGGAGGTTTTTCCCAAAACATTCCCAGGTTCCCGGGTTCCCAATTGTCGTTCCCCGTTTTTCCGTGTATTCCATGGTGCCCCCACCACCTTTTTGCGTGACGCCCCCTTTCCTTTGCGTTTTCCCTTTTAGGTTTCCTCCCCTCCAACAAGACCTTCACACAGGTTCCCAAGGTTTTATTTGTTTTCAGTGAGGTTCCACTTTCGGTTTTATCTCACACCACAGGTTTGTTTTTTTTTCTGTTCCCAGGGTTCCCAAGGTTCCCAACATTCCCAAGGTTTCCAGGGTTCCCAAGGTTCCCAACATTACCAAGGTTCCCAAGGTTCCGAAGGTTCCCAAGGTTCCCAAGGTTTCCAAGGTTCCCAAAGTTCCCAGGGTTCCCAAGGTTCCCAACATTCCCAAGGTTTCCAGGGTTCCCAAGGTTCCCAACATTACCAAGGTTCCCAAAGTTCCCAAGGTTCCCAAGGTTCCGAAGGTTCCCAAGGTTCCCAAATTTCCCAAGGTTCCGAAGGTTCCGAAGGTTCCCAAGGTTCCCACGGTTCCCAAGGTTCCCAAAATTCCCAAGGTTCCCAGGAGATTCCAAGCAAGGGTTTCAGGAGGAGGTTCCCAAGCAAGGTTCCCAAGAGGTTCCAAGAAAGGCTCAGAGGTTCCCAAGCAAGGCAAGGGTTCCCAGCAAGAGCTTCCCAAGCAAGGGTTCCCAGGAAGAGGTTCCCAAGCAAGGTTCTCGGGAAGAGGTTCCCAAGCAAGGTTCCCAGGAAGAGGTTCCCAGGAACAAGTTCCCAAGCAAGGTTCCCAGGAACAAGTTCCCAAGCAAGGTTCCCAGGAACAGGTTTTGCAAGCACGGATTTCAGGAACCTTTTTCAAGGTTCCCAAAAACCGTTTCCCAAGCAAGTTTTTCAGGAACATGTTTTTCCAAGCAAAACAAGGTGTTTCCAGGAAGAGGTTTCCAGGAAGAGGTTCCCAAGCAAGGTTCCCAGCAAGTTTCCCAAGCAAGATTTCCAGGAACATGTTTTTGCAAGCAAAACAAAGTTCCCAGGACAGGTTTTCAAGCAAGTATTTCCAGAAGAGGTTTCAAGGAAGAGGTGTCAAAGCAAGGTTCCCAGCAAGCTGGTTCCCAAGCAAGGTTTTCAGGAAGAGGTTCCCAAGCGAGGTTGCCAGCCACAGGTTCCCAGGAACAGGTGCCCATACAAGGTTCCCAAGAACAGGTTCACAAGTAAGGTTCCCAAGTACGTTCCCAAGCAAGGTTCCCAGAAACAAGTTCCCAGGAACAGGTTCCCAAACAAGTTTCCCAAGAACAGGTTCACAAGTAAGGTTGCCGGAAAAAGTTCCCAGGCAATGTTTCCAGGAAAAGGTTCCCAAGCAAGGTTCCCAGGAACAGCTTCTAAAGCAAGGTTGCTAGGAAGAGGTTCTGAAGCAAGGTTCCCAAGAAGAGGTTCGCAAGCAAGGGTTCCCAGTTGTTCCTGGAAATTTTGCTTGGGAACCAGCTCTTCCTGGGGACGCTTACTTGAGAACCTTTTCCTGCGAGCCTTGTTCGTGCTTGGAACCTTGCTTGGAAACGGTTCCTGACCTTGCTTGGGAACCGTTACCTGGTAACCGTACTTGCAATCGGTTCCTAAGAAATTAACCTTGCTTGGGGTCCTCAGCCACCCCAGGAACAAGATTTCCAATCACATTTTCCGGGTTCGGGTTTAGGTTCGCACGCAAAGTTACCAGGAACGATTCCCAAGCCAGGTTCCCAAGAACAGGTTCCCAGGCAAGGTTCCCAACCAAGGATTCCAGAAACAGTTGCCAAGCAAGGGTTCCCAGAAACAGTTGCCAAGCAAGGTTCCCAGGCCAGGAACAGGTTCCCAAGCAAGGTTCCCAGGAACAGGTTTCCAAGAAAAGGTTGCAAAAAAGGTTTCCAAGAATAGGTTCGCAAGCAAGGGGGTTCCAGGCAATATTCCTGGGAACAGGTTTCCAAGCAAGGTTCGCAAGACCAGGTTCCCAAGCAAGGTTCGCAAGAACAGGTTCCCAAGCAAGGTTCGCAAGAACAGGTTCACAAGCAAGGGTTCCAAGAACAGTGCCTCAAGTTCCCAAGCGAGGGTTCCAAGAACAGGTTTCCTTGCAGGGTAGCGGCAAGGTCCTTGGGAACAGGTTCCCAAGCAAGGTTTCCACGAACAGGTCCCGAAGCAAGGTTCCCCAAGGACAGGTTTGCAAGCAAGCTTCGCAAGAACAGGTTCGCAAGCAAGGGTTCGAAGAACAGGTTCCCAAGAACAGGTTCGGGTTCCAAGAACAAATTCTCTAAGAAGGTTCCAAGCAATAGGTTGCCAGCACGGTTCCCACGAACATGTTCCCAAGCATGGTTTCAGGTTGTTCATGTTCCCAGGAACAGCTTTTCAAGAACAACTTGCAAAGAGAAATTTCGAAGACCATCTGCAAGCAAGGTTGGAAGCAAGAATAGAATCCCAAGCCAGGTTCCGAAGGACAGGTTCCTAAACAAGGTTCCTAAACAAGGTTCCTAAGCAAAGTTACGAAAAACAGGTTCCCGAGCAAGGTCCCAATGAACAGGTTTGAAGCAAGCAGGCAAAGTTTCCAAGAACAGGTTTCCAAGAGAAAGTTCCCAAGAACAGGTTACCAGGCAATGCTCCCAAGAGCAGGTTCCTAAGAATAGGCTCCCAAGAACAGTTTCCCAAGCAAGGTTCCGATAAACAAGTGTCAAGCAACGTGTCCAGGAACAGTTGCCCAGGCAAGGTTCCAAGAACATTGAACAACAGAACGCTGCAAAATTTGAAGATTTGTTCTAATAACGGAACGGAGAGATTGAAGAACTAGTTTTGCTTCAAAAAATGATACGGCACTCGCACATGGATAAAACACTAGACGACATGGCATGAAAGAAGGCAGTAGGGAGGAGACGAGAAGATAATACACGAGAAAAATGATGATGGTGATGATGATGACGACAATGATGATGGTGATGACGAGGATGAATGGCGATGGAGATGATGATGAATGATAGCTGACGTGAGCCAAACATCATATATCCACGGTTTCGCGCCTTTTTTGGCCCCACAGAGGGTTTGCTCCAGGGCTGGCACCTGAGTGACAGTCAGAATCCAAAGACATGTTGTTTTTGCACAGCGAAAAGTTTACACAGAGAAGATGTTACACACAGAAGCCTTTACACAGAGAGGGATTTACACAGAGCAGCTTTTACACAGACGCTTTTGCACACAGACGCTTTTAACACAGAAGCTTTTGTACAGAAAAGCCTTTTCTAAAGAAGCCTTACCACATGAAGCCTTTACACAGAGCAGCTTTACACACAGACGCTTTTTCACAAAGAAGTTTTTACACACAGGAACTTTAACGCGCAGATGCCCAAGCTTTTACACACAGGAGCTTTTGCACACACACGCCTCACAAAAAGAAGCTTTTAGACACAGAAACTTTTACAGCCTTTTCACAAGAAAGCTTTTACACAGAAGCTTTTGCACAGATATGCCTTTACAAACAGAAGCTTTTACACACAGAAGCTTTTACTCAGAGAAGCCTTTAAACAGAGCAGCTTTTACAGACACAGAAGCTTTTACACAAACAAGTGTTTGCGGGAAGGAACTTTGAGCACAAACGGTTTTTAGATACAGCAGCTTTCACACAGAGAAGCTTTTGCGCGGACCAGCTTTTACACTCAGGTTTGTTTTCACAGAGCAGCGTTTACGCGGAGCAGCTTTTACACACCGAAGTTTTGACGCAGAGAGGCCTTTACACAGAGAAGCTTGTACACACAGAACCTTTTACACACAGACGCCTTCGCACACACACACACAGATGCCAGTACACAGAGCAGCTTTGACACACAGACGCTTTTATACAAAGAAGCCGTTACACAGAGCAACTTTTACACAGCACGGCTTTTACACAGAGACGCCTTTACACAAAGAAGCTTTTCTACACAAACGCTTTTACGCATAGAGGCCTTTACACACAGAAGCTTTTATGCACAGAGGTTTTCACACGGAAGCTTTACACAGAGAAGCTTTTACACAGAGAAGCGTATAAACAGAGCATCTTTAATACACAGAAGCATACACACACACACAAGCTTTACACACACGCCTTTGCACACAGAGCTTTTACACACAGACGCTTTTACGCATAGAAGCTTGTTCACAGAGCAGGGTTTAAACAGAGCACAGAAGGAGGCCTTTGCACAGAGCAGCTTTTACAATCTTATACGTGCAGAAACTTAAACACGCCCTTGTAAAATCGCAATTTTACACAAGTTTTATTTCGCGCGAAACGGTTGTGCCTGACTGACGTTTCAAAATGGATAAAGTCGCAATTTTACACCAATTCTTGAACGTTGGCATCTGACGTTAAAAAATCGCAGTTCTCCCACAGTTATTGCCGTTTGACTTTCGTGCCACGCTTGCATCTGAACTTTCAAAATCACAATTTTACAACAGTTTTTGACGGTTGACCCTCATTTCGTGCGAAGGGGCTGTGCCGGGCCTCACCAAATTTGCATTTTGCCACATGTTTGGATGTCCGACCTGCGCGATCTCTGAAGAGGGTTGCCCGTGCCCAAAAGAAATTCACATTCCACCACATGTTTGGGCGTTCGAAACGCACGATCTCCGCAGACGGCTGCTGCGGGCAAAGAAGTTTCGCATTTCACCACACCACATGTTTGCCCATCCGACACGCGCCATCTCCGCAGAGGGTTGCCCAAGGACAAACAAGACCCGCATTTCGCCACACGTTTGGGTGTCCGACACGCCGCAGAGGGTAACGATTCGTAAGCCACCGCCTGGCTGTCCCTGCCACCAGAGAGAAATAGAAGAACTGGATGATTTTGCTGGAGTTCAGATACAATTTGATCACCTGGAAGTCAGCTGAACCCTGTGTAGCAACTCCTGTGCAACAATTTCTGTGCAAAATGACCATGCCGGCAGGAGTCTTGTAGGAGTTCAAGTAGAAATGGATCACCTGCAAGTCAACTCCTGTGTAAATGACATTGTTCAAGTTTTGTAGGAGTTCCCTAGAAGTTGATCACCTGTAGCTGATGTAGGTGATGTTGTCTATGTTGTAGATGATGAGGATGATGTTGTAAGTGATGTAAGGTTAGATAGATTTGAAGATGTAGGTGATGTATAGGATGCAGTGATACAGATGATGATGTAGGTTATGTATGCGTTGTAGGTGATGTATATCATGTAATGTAGATGAGGTTGATGGAAAAAGATTGTGTAGGTGATGTAGATGGTGTAGGTGAGATAGATGATGGTGATGATGATGATGGTGGTGGTGATGGTGATGATAATCATGATGATGTAGGGAAGATCGTGCAGAAGATGTAGGTGATGTGGGTGATGTAGAGGATGTAGTGATGTAGATGATGATGTAGGTAATGTATGTATTGTAGATAAAGCATGTCATATAGATGGGGTTGATGGAAAATGTGTAGGTGGTGCAGATAATGTAGGTGAGGCGTCCCTGTGGAGTAGTTGGTAGGGCGTCGACAGACTACCGGTGGCGGTTCGATTCCCCGCTGGTCCGCAGGTAAGCCTCAAGTGTGGTGACCAGTCGAAAGACAATGGCGCCGGCCACAAAAAAAAAGGTGCAGATAATGTAGGTGAGACAGATGTAGGTGGTGATGATGATGATGATGGTGATGGTGATAATGATGATGATGGTGTAGATGTAGATGTAGATCTAGAGAAGATGGTGTAGAAGACGGTATAGAAGATGTAGGTGATGTAAAGGACATAAGAGATGTGGATGATGTATGTTAGGTAGATGAAGTGAAGAGTGAGGCGGACAGCAGTTCTTTGGGAAAAAGCCTTCGCACGAGCTTCGGGAATTTTGGCCACAATATTGCGAACGCTTTTGGAAAAACGGTTTTTCATAAAGTGTTTGTGCTGTGATTGCGCCTTGTACGCCCGACCTCTAGAGTAAGAAGGGCGGGGCAATAAACATACTTCACTCATTGCGTGTTTGGCAACTGTTTTTGTTTCTGGCTGTTGGGGATACTCTTTGGGCTTATTCTTTTTTTCTTTCCCTTGTGTGGCATTCTGTGGCACTCCTATCCCGTGCAGTCTTAGGGTTTGATCCGTGGTTTCCTCAGGGCTTGCGGCGCAATGTGGAGAAGCTGGCAGAGGCACAGCCAAGCTGATTCGAAGTGTCAAAACTTCCTGCACTGCACGGAAAGCATGGGAATGCATATGAATCGTCTGGCAAAGAACAAGAGCAAAACGAAAAACAAGTTCTTTTGACTCACCTTTTGGTTCTATCAAGTTGTATCTATGGCAGCAGGCAGTCCTCTTCCGCGGTCCACTGTCAAAGACTCCAGTGAAAGATTTTGGGACCACGGATGGCACCTGCAGGACCGGTGTCGGATAGATGTGACACGTGTGACATGTGTTGTAGGATCTTGCGCGCATATGCGAGCATGACGTGTGCATCTCTCAACCCTTTTCGAAACATTCAGCAGGTTCTCTGACCTTACCGTGATGGTGCCGTTGCTCCCCTTGTTGTCACCGACATTCGGTAGCTCAAATAAACAAACACCATTTGCTGCCTGTCCTTTGAACATCCTCTTCTTGTAATGTCAAATAGCGAGTGAAAATCAGAACCAGTTCTCACACTTTCTCACAGGTTCTCACGTTCTTCTTCCTGTTTGGAAGCACGCGATCCTTCAACCCTTCCAAGCGGTCCCTATCCTATTTCTTCATGAGCTCCCCATATGCGATCTGTTCTAACAACCCTCTAGATAGATGCACCACAGATAGAATCAGATGGATGGTATATAAATGTATGTCTATATAAATATATATTTCCTGTTATATGTTAATATATACATTACATAGCATTTCAGCATACATACACATAGTATAAATGCACATGATCTCATCAATATCCCATCAGTATCCCATCAATATCTCATCAATATCTAATCAATATCTCATCAATATCTCACTATATATACCATATATATATATACTACACCAAAACACGACGACACGGAAATCCAAAACACAGTATATATACATTGATATATGTATGTAGATTATATATATATATGTATATATATATGTATATATATATATGTACATATAATATGTATTCATAAACTATTCATATATGTATTTTTTACAGATGCTTTGCCGTAAAGCTCTGACCTCTACACGAATGCTTCGCGCCGTCGAGTTTTGGATCAATAAACGGCTGTGATGACTGCCGTAGCTGGGCTAATGGCTTGGCAATCGCGGCAGCTTGGCCACCTGAGAATGGGAAAATGACGAAACAAATGGGGAAACGTGGGAAAATGACATAAAACATATGGAGGTTTCCTGGAACTGATCGTTTTTTGTTGGGATTTTCCATTACAAACGCATCCATTTTGGGGTGCCTCCATTTATGGAAACCCCCATATGGGACAATTAGATAATGTAATTGTCGATTTCAGCAATGACATGTGTCAAATGATAATTCCGATAAAATTCGATATTTCAAATCAGGATCATGCCATGCTTTTGAGAGCCTTAGCGTGAAAGAACACAGAATATAGATAAAGGCAACAAGATCATACCTGTACATACTTGTAAACATATACACACGCAAACACACACACAAAGACGGAATATATATATATATGACATTTTCAAGAAGGGTGTGATGTCAAGCGGTGTCGCCGAGGCCGAGGCTGTCAAAGCTGCCAAAGCTGGCGCTGTTGGCAGCCGCGATGCTTGCAATTCAACTGCGACCGCTCGCGAGCACAACTCCTGAAACTCCTGAAACTCCTGAGACCCAAGGTCTGAAAAACCCGGAGATTTCAGAAAGGAGATAGGAAATGATAGGAATGATATTCAATACTTGTTTTTTTTTGGAATATTTGGAATATTTAGGTAGAAAGACAGAGGAGGGACAGAATGACTTTTCAACATGTTGAAGCCATGTTGAAACCATTTCAACATCTTTCAACATCAGGTGGGAGCATGGTCTCCGTCTCCAAGAGTGTTATGGCGAAGGTGCGAGCTTTGCAAGCCCAGGCCAAGGACAGCATTTTTTCAACAGCATTCGAAGGTCAAACAGTTTTTCGACTGTCAAATTCCCGTCTCAGAGAGACCCAAACTTCAGGAGAATTCTGTCTCAGAGGATCTTGCTGATTTGATCTCACGTGGCATAGATTTGAACTTGTTTGGAAGATGTTGAGGAACATGTTCATGGGTGAACAATGGGACATGACATGGGACATGTTGGACGTGTTGGACCTGTTGGACGTGTTGGACGTTTTGGCGCAAGTCAGGAGGGCGCAGTTCCCAAGCTGGGCGACAGAGCCGCTGAAATCGTGGCAGAAGCGCAGCAGGGCGGTCCAGTCTTGGCCAAGGCAGTCGAGGCAGCCTTAGAACCGCTCTTTCTGCGCCAAGTCAGAGAAGCTCGGCAGCAGAAATGCGTGCATTTCAAAGGGAAACATAGCAGAAACACAACAAGTAATACAAATATATACAAATAATACAGTAGTGGTTGTAAGGACCCAGATAAACACGAGGAAATTTGCAAGGTCTGTATCAGAGGTGACCAGGAGTCTTTTTTTGGTGTGTACTTCATTGTACGGCCCTCTGAAGCTCCTAGGATCTCCCTGTTCAAGCGATCCATCACATCTCCTTGCATTGAAACTCTTGCAAATGTGACCTGATTGTCACAATGTCTGTACTTTCCTGATACTTTCCTGGTGTGGTGTAATCTGTAGTACAGATCTGTACAGATCTGTACAGATCGCTAGATATTTGTAGATTCCATAGTGATTTCCATAGTGAGAAGATTCCGCTCCCGGGATTCCATGGTCCCGAGGAGATGAGAAGCAAAGCTGCCAGTGACGTGCACACCGATCTGAACTCTGTTGCTCAGCGTTTTGTCACAGGCAAAATTGACAAAAATCAGGCATATCCTATGCATATCATATGCACATATATATACATATTTATATTTATATATATTATACTATCATATTATCAGACTTTGAGTCAGGGTGGCTACTCAAAGTCTTGGGTTGTTCAAAGCGAACTCGGACCAACCTCAGATGCAAACGGTGAAACAAGTCTGGAGTGCAGACTGAGGCAGAGAAGTCTGAGAACACCTTTTTAGAGGACTGGTTGTGCATTTGTCTTTCTTCATTGTGCTTTATTTGCGAGTCGCAGTCGTTAGGCTGTCGTTCTCTTCTTTCAGTCGTTGTCATGTTTTTTTTGTTTCTGGACATCATTTTTATCCATGCACCTCAGCAATGCATTCTCTGCATAACTTTTGATGTTTCAACCACCCTTTCGAGCAGTTGACTGCTAGAACTTAACTGTGAAAACAGGAACAGATTTGTGAATCGATTTCTGTAAGAATGTTGTCAGGAAGCTCAGCAATTGCAGGGAAAGGTTGCATGGCACATGGAGCCAGAACATCAGCGTTTGCGAGCAGTACTTGACCAGCAGGCCTGGTTTGAACACGATGTGTGCTGACATGGTGCGAAATCGTTTTCGAAGCCAAGATGCTTTCTAGATATGCAAAGATTCTTGCTCTAGACTGTCTAGACCTTGGTTGTGACCGTTCCAATGTGGACACTGAAATCTGCTTTGTGGCTTGGATAGGATCTAAACATGTCCAGACATATCTCAACAGGGCCATATGTCAGTGGATGAGACCTACACATCCCACAGATGTCGCAGATTCCGTGCGTTTCTTAACGTCGGCTCGGCTTGGTTCGGCTTGCCGAATAATTTGCCGGCGCTGACCTGTCCAGAGGGTCAGTTGCCCCACGAGTTGCGGCTTTTAATATATCGTATTGAAATTGAGAAAAGAATTAAAATAAGTTTAAAATAAGTTGAATAACTCTGAATAACTGAGAGTTGGAAAATGTTGGGAAACTGAGAAAATGACTGTAACAAATACGCAAATACGATATACGCATCGAAAGGGGACTCGCATTCCCAGGTGGACACTGCCGCTGCGCTGGCAGAAGAGCGTGCACGAGCTGCGCTGGTGCAGCGCTCTACCATTGAAGTCATTGGGCGATTGCAGGACCCAACTGTGGAGTCTGTGGAGCCTTCCGCAAGTTTACCAAGTTTAAGAGTCGTGGATCTACTGTGGATCTACTTGAGACGACTGAAATATAAATGGATTTGGAAACCTTCTTGCTATGGCTATTTAATGCTATCTATGAACATATGTAATACACACACGGACACTATTATTGAGGTTGTGAAGGTGGACGGTGTGTTTGGATTCTGTCCAGGAGCAGATGGAAGATCTTGCTGCCAAAGCGCAAGCTTACCGTTCCATGGCTCTCAAAATGAATTGAAATCCCTGTCCGCGTGGTCAGCGTGGTATTGGGACAGCAACTTTTTACAACTTGGTCGTACGACTCAGCTCAGGTGATGGCAGCAGCCCCTTCGTACTCTCAACTTCCTACAGGATCCCAAAGACACCTTTGCAGTTTGTAAGCCGTTACGAACAGGGCCGCGCCAATATCATGCTCACCCTGACGCCAGATAAAGACACTCGCTTATGGATTGGTCAGAGCTCCGTTGTCATAGCTGTCATAGCTGTAGACTTGGTGGTTTGTTTTTAGCTCTGTTGCTTGCTTTGTTAATTTTGTTAATTTTGTTAATTTTGTTTATTTTGTTTGAGTGTTTCGAACAGCCTTACAGTGTTTCGTTTTTCGAATTGCTCAGATTGGTTTCAGTTTCAGCCTGAGGACCCTACGAAGTCGGATGGAGGCTTCGCAGCTGCAGTTGGTCCAGCCAACATTGGCGTCTCCTTTGATGTGATGTGAGTGATGTGGCAAAAACGTGGACCCACACAGCATTCAAATCATTTCAATTCTAGGTGCAACGTGCAACTTTAACTAAATTGATTTTCAAGACAATCACAGGAAGCTTGCAAGCAAAGCTCGGCTTAGTGTATCTATGTGTATCTTATTGTTCTTGCTTTCAGTTTTACAATGTTTCGAGATAGGGCTCATATGGAAACTACCGGTGCATTGGCACAGAATCGTTGTAAACGCCAGCATCCCTTCCAGTTTCACCTGGCAGAGCCGCTTTGGTGTGGATGTAAACAACTGAGCGAGGGTCATGGGTTGACTGACAGCTGCCCCGAAGTGCAAGTGCAAAGCTTTGTACCATAGCGGAAGCAGGAGTTCCAGATAGTTCCAGTATGTTCGCAGGATGGCGCAGAGTGCAATTGACTTGGGAATTGTGATTCTGCGCAAGGCACAGCATGGTACGAATTCTGAAGTTGGCAAAATGACATAGTTGGTTACAGTTGCATGTGTTGACTTGTGCGGTTAGGCTCACTTTTGTCCCAGGTGAGCGGACTCGTTCGCTTTCAGGCATGACATCATCGAAAATGCATTTTGTCGAGGGTGAGAGGCATCACTGAATTGAAGAATGAGCAAGCACTAAACAATCGATTCAAAAACGATTCAACACGATTTGGTGATTTTGGTGCAGAGGTGTTCTTCTTTTGAGTTTTGAGTTTCTTTTTTGACATCGGTCATGTGGTCTCCAGGTGCAAACGGTGAAGACCCAGGCCTTGGAGGCATCAAACAACGCTCGTCTGCTGTGCGTCTGTGAGTTCTCTGAGATTCTCTGAAGATTCTCTGAGTCTAGGCTCGGTGCAGCACTCGCGTGGTCCTTTTGGTCAGTGAAATTTGCCAGCCATTCGAGACGGCGGAGGATGATGAAGGTCGCAGTGCCGTTTTGGCTTTGAACTTTGATGAACTTTGATGAACTTTGATGCCTCGCTTTGAATCCTTTCTTATCTTTCTTTCCCAGGCCTGACATCACCAAGAAATCAAAGAATACTTTCCGTTCTGATTTTTCTTTCCCTGGGATCCTGCAAGCGAAGCAGCCAAGTCTTGCTGTGAAAGGTGAAGGGCAAAGTTTCACCACACGCTTGAGCCTCCAGATTCAGGAAGACGTGGCCTCTTTAGATCTCTTTAGATCTGTTTAGATCTGTTTAGAATGATTTTGCAAAAGCTTTGCTCCATGGAGATCCGTGGAGGCTATGGCTTTCCAAACGGCAGCTGTTTTTCGCAGTTTGGCATTGCCAGGAGCTGAACCAACAAATCGAGAGTGCTCAGAAGACGAAGGCCGAGCGTATCAAGTCGCAGAGCGTCGAGCATCGCAGAGTGAGACATTCGTACTGGGATGATCTGCGACGCGCAAACGATGAAAACGATGAAAACAATGCATCAAACTGATCACTCACTGTCTCAAGCTGTCCATATGCATCATATGCACAACATGGACATGACATGTGGACATTCTGTGTCAAGAGAATGCACGAGGATAACATAGACGCAGCCAAGACCAAAGCCGCGGCTGCAGAGGTCTTGAGATCTGGCGGGCAGACATATTGTTCCGAGCAGCATCATCAATTTTTAGTGTCCATTTCGGACCATTAAGAACCGGAGGACAATCTCCGAAGAAATCTTCGATTGCTCAGAAACAGAGACTAGACAGAGTCCATCGGGCACAAACAGCTTTGGTGAAAGACTATAATAAAGCAACCCTGAAGTATTAAGAATTCAAGAATTCTAAGGGAATCATACCATGCGTATCAAGAATCCTGTGGATTCCTGTGGAGTCCGCTGAAACATCACTCGATGGAAAAGAGGAATCCAAGGCACAGATTTGACATGTCTCGAGCAATTGTAAGAAATATTAAGAAATATTTAGAAATTAAGAAATATCAAATTAAGATGACTCGGATGACCGTGCAATTCGTGTTGCAATTCGTGCGAAGAATTCTGAGTTCCGACATCGTTCTGCAGGAGTACATCCAGGCGCAGAAGTTGAAGGACCAAGCCAGGCCGCAGAGCTCGAAGAGATTCTCTCCGGTGATCTCCGGGATGATCCCCTGATGTCCTTCCGTCCGATCTATCTCTTGTGCGCTGTCAAAGGTTTCAAATCTCTCTGCCCTTGTCACATCGTCATCGACCTATGTTTAGGGAAGCCCAAAACATCCCAAAACAGTTTTGTTGTTTAGAGAGTTGAGCAGTTTTGAGCAGGAAAAACGACAAAGATCTGGCAACTCTCCAAGCAGAGAGGGACAGGCCAGTGGAATCTTCGTGATTTGATCCATCCATTGACTCAAAGGTGATCAAAAAAGTGTCAAACTTTAAAGTCTAACCGAGTCTAACCGAGTCTAACCGAGTCTAACCAAAGTCCTTTCTCATATCCCTACGATTTCATTCAGTTTTTGGATGTTAGGCTCCTACAGAAGCGCGACACAGTCTGCCTTCGAGTCCTTTCCATCGTGTCTGCCCTTTTGCGTTGGTCCAACTCTGATCTTCGGAAGGCATCACTGGGAGGGAAAGCTGCGAAGACTTTGTTTTTTTTGCCAGATGCATTTGTGCACTGCGATGTGCCTTCAGGACCCTGCGCTCATGGGCACGCTTCATCAAATTCTATTACCAATGGTCTCACTTCCAGCGCTCTCGAAGGCAGGTTAGTGCTTCAACAGCTCGGACAGCTCGGACAGCTCGGACAGGCCACAGGTCGGTTGCAGGTCGGTTGTTTTTGTTTTCCAAGCAGCTAATCTGCTAAGATCTGCTAAGATCTGCTAAGATCTGCTAAGATCTGCTAAGATTCAGGCTGTGGAGGTCTCGGTGGTCTATGCGATTTGTCTCTTCAGCGTCCGGGATGGTGAGGTGGCCAAAGCCCATTGGAGGCTGGGCTTTGACCACAGCGATGTTTCACGGATTTCATTGCAAGATCTTGCTGTTTCTTAGCAGATTTAGCAAGGAAAGTAGGGGACACTGCAAGAGTTCTTTGAGATGTGTGAATCGATGTGAATCGTCTGATGCGCACAACATGTTGCACTATGTCTGTGGTGCAATGACAGTTTGATGCTGACCCTGCTGCGTGGACTTCAAGAGGCGTGGCAACCGCATCAAAACACGTTGGACTTGAAGCAAAATAATTCAGCAGTTCACTGATTCTTCCGCGGTCTAAAATCGCAAGGCAATGGTTCTGGTGTGGCGGTGACTGGTGGTAATCATTAGTATTCTGATGAATTCTGATGATGAATTCTGATGAATTCTGGCGCTATTTCTTCCGTTTCTCTCTGGCGCCAGGTGGAGGGTGCTGATGGTGAAGGCGCTGCAGCATCTCCCCGTGTGAGCAGATGTGGAGAGACGTGCTGACGGAGAAACGTAAAGATGCCTGGGACATTTTGACCAGAAAAGTTGAGGGCAGAAGAGAAGCAAAGACATAACGCGCAAAAATCAAGTAAAGATTCAGAGATAGCAGAAGAATATTTTTTTCAGGCATGAAGACTTTTGAAAAATGAAATTCCTTCAGCTCTGCTTGTTTGCTCTGCCCCTCTGCCAGCTTCCGTGAATTTGCAATGTGACCGTGCTCGGGCTGCCGTGGCTGCGCGCGCTCTGGCAGACTGCGCTCGAATTCACGCGAAGCACTGAGATACACTGAGATACACTGAGATGGAGTGATCACTGAGAGCATGTCGGATTCGTCTTTGGAGCAAAGGGAACCATGTGAGAACCATGTGAGAACCATGTGAGAACCATGTGAGAACCATGTGAGAACCATGTGAGAACCATGCGAACATCTTGTGAATCCAGATTTGAACTGCTAAGGGCGGCTTGCTGGACAGGGACGAGGTTCTCAGTGCAGCCTCTGCTCTGGCAGCAGTTCCGTTCTCTTCTCGCCAGGTGGGTGCTGTTGGAATCTGTATTGACAGACATAGTGATAGCATGTCAATGCATGTCATAGCTAAGGTCAAATAGGTCACATAGTTCACATAGATCAAGTAATTCAAGGATGTTCAAGGCACTTTGTGACTGCTTACGCAAGGCAGTTGATGAGAATAGACCTAATGAATTCAATCATATTCAATCAATGTAATGTAGTAAGGCACAGGATATCAGTATCAGAGTGAAGCTATGAGGGTTGGCGCCTTGATTCTGATGTCGGTGTGGTGGGGTGGAAGAATTGAATCAATGCATGACTGCTGTGCTTCAAGACTCTTCAGCGAGCTAGCATCATGCTCTTATGATCTGTCATTGATTTTTCATGTAATCATAGCTGGATGCGTGTCAACCTTTTTCCATCTTTTTCCAATAGAAGATTAGACAGCTTGTCGTCATCAAAGCATGCGCTATCTTCCAAGCTCCATGCATGATGTCTACACAGATCGGTTTCGTTCTCACGACACAATGTCATACTGTACTTGAGCTTCCAGACTCCTTTTTGAAGCTGCAGAATGGCATCTGTCTACCGTCGCTAAAGCCCATGGCGTGGATCTAGCCATGGGTCGGCTCAGATATGGACCGCTTCAATGGCCAGAGCATCTTGCAAGCCATCTCTGAGCTCTTTGCGACATCTGGCTATGGCGGTGGAAAACGACTTGCTGCAGATGCCTTGCTGCGTGACTTCTCCAAGGCAGACTGTGTGGTGCCAGTGAGCTTCGAACTTCTGCATTCACACGTCTGTGGACAAACACAGCTGCCGGAAGAAGCTCTTCAGCTTCTGGCTACAGGACCCGTTCGACCCGTTCAGGAAGTGGGTTTTCCTCACAGAGGCTCATCTCGAGTCAACCATAGGGGCTTAACTCAAGGAAGTCAAGGAAGTCAAGGAAGTGAAGGATGTGTTGTTGTGACACGTTGATTTGCACGTGGCTGTGCGAAGAAAGCATAGAAATGAAATGAAATGAAATGAATAAATTGTGAATGACTGTGGTGTCAGTGGTGTCAGTGTTGATGGCAGGATGTTGGCGTCGCGCACAGCGGCGAGGCGCCAGCGAGGTGTCAACCGCTGACGTCCTGGGCCTCGCATCAGCGCTGAGCACGGCGCCGGCGGCGCCGGCGGCGCCGGCGGCACCGGCGGCACCGGCGGCATCTCGAGCATCTCGAGCATCTCGAGCCGCCGACAGCTTGGTGCGGATGGCAGCAGCCAAGTGGCTCCACGACGCCTCGAACTCTGGGAGCGTTCAGTCCATTCCTTTGCAAAATCTGCTGACCGAAATGCAAAATGCACACAGTGAAAGTGCGGAGTTGGCGCTGATGGCTTTGGCGGCCTTGCCAGAGGACCAAGCCATGTAGCAAAGCCTTGCTTTTTTGGGTGCCACACATTGGTGTCATGTGTAAAAAGACAGATTTGTACACCGACATTCAAACGATTCAAACGGTTCACACGATTCAAACGATTCAAACTGAGTAGGTATATGTAGGTATGTATGCAGCATTATGCAGAATTTTTACGTATGCTTCATGATATCTCTTGAAGTTGATGCTGTGACAAAGTTGTTCCATGCCGCAGGAAGCGAATGCAAAGGAAGTGAAGATCGAGAAGCGGCCCGCCCTTCTGTTGGAGCTGCAAGGGGCTGCGCCAGATGTCCTGAAGCATTTGAGTTTGGCGGGTGAAAGGACTGAATCGATTGTGATCAATTTTGCATTGTGAAAACTCATCCAAATTTCATCTAAATTTCATCTAAATACATCATATCATATAGCTAGAAATCGAAATATTATGCTGTTGGCTCCTATGCCGAGACATATCATGCCTCTGCAGGAGCATTCTCGCAGCAACCCAGTGGCTTTCTGTTTCCGATTCAACTGCTTGTATCTTGTCATGCGAAGTCTGACAGTTGTCAGGTTTCCCAAAAATGCAGGGTTTCCGGAATTTCCGGGTATCTCGTTCTTTGCCATGTGGCATCCTTTGGAAAGTCCAGCTAAGGCAGTTTGAACGAAATCAACTCCGGCCTGCTTCCTCATGCGGGCTCGCTTCTCCAAAGGGAGGACTCCAAACTTTCAGGCCTGGCAGCGTTGCACTGGGAACTGTTTGAGGAGACACATGGGGACACATGCTGCTTGGGCGCCCATAGTTTTCGTTTCAACTTCAGACTGTGCATATCTGTGCATCTTGTGCTATTTCGTCAAAGTGTCACGGTTTGGTCAAGTGGCGACGTGATGCGACGTGTTATCTCGAGTCATATCTCGTGTCGGTCTCGAGAGGACTTGCTGCAGAGTTCCTGGAGGCCCTCATGGAGAAGTCGAGCAGCTGCAGCAGCTGTCCAGAGCGCAGGGTTGCCAAGTGCGAAAGCTGAAAGCCAAACTGCTGTGATTTCAACAGAGTGAAGAGGAGCGAAACCAACGGATGAATAATTGGAGAGACATGACAGACATGGTTATGTTTATTATGTATATATGTCAAATATATTCAAATATGATATTAATTCATCAGAAATGGGTGAAGAATAGGGTAAAAACACATCGATGAGTGAACGGTTGGTAGATGATAAGTTTTGAGCCTTTTCTGATCTTTTCTTGGAATCCTTTGTCATCCTTTGTCTGTTCCGCTTTCGACAGTCCGTTTTCGTTTACACGATCGCACGAAGCATTTTGCCCGCTGTCACAAGGCCTCGTACAAAGTCTGATGTCTTTACTGGCCCAGCTTCACCCCAGTAGCGCAGAGGCGGGGCATCTCTTGACATGTACAATCAAATGCACATCGTTGTCGTGCTCAAATATCTCAAATAGCAGAAAAGTTGCGGTTGTGGACTGTTGTGCCTTGTAATATGGTGGTTCTTACATAATCTTGTGATATCACAAGTCTGTATCTTACGAGTCTTCTTATGGGTCTTACGGGTGTTGCAATGTGTTACAATGTGTTTGATCTAACATATCTAACGGAATCTAACGTATTTGACGTGGTCTTCTCATGTCTTCTCAAGTCTCAGTCTCGAGAGTCTCCAGGCACGTCACCGACTCTGTCGCCTCGTGGCAGCAGCAGCTGGCGCGTGGCAGCGCTTCTTCGTGGCGCCCGGGCCACCAAAAGACTTGTGGCACTTGTGGGTCTCGCTGCTGGAAGCGCTGATGGCATGTGCAAAGTGGGGCCACAAGCTTGCAGCCATGGCCTTGTCCACTTGGCTTTCATTGTATTTTGGCATTTGTTGACTCAATGTCCAATTTTCATCAATTTTTGCTGTTTTTGGATGTGTTTTGGACAGCTTCGGTCATGGAATCAGATGCATGGCACGGCATGGCACGGCGCTTCCGCTTCCATCGCGCTTCCGTCTGAGGCACAGTCAGGCATTGGAGGCTGGTCCAGAGGCTAGGAAATCACCAGCAGCGAATCTCAACATGAGATGCAATGGATGACATCAGAATGGAAGGATAACAATGAATAACAACAATGTGCTTCTCAATGTGCCTCTTGTAGAGTTGGATGAGTTATGTTTCTGTGCATTTCGACAGGTCTTCGAAGCGTATGCTCCAGTGCTGTTGAAGGCAGCCAGAAGTCTTCGAGATGCCAGCATGTTTCCGCTCGACTTCCACCAGTGGCCTCCAGAGGAGGGTGAAAGTCATGGAAAAACCATGGAAAAACCGAAATCTCCAGAAGTCTTGGAACAAAAAACGCCCCCAGGACGCTGAAAGCTTTGTGCAGTTTCGTCGTGAGCTGAGAGATTTCCTACGTGAACTTGGAGCAGAGAAAGCACCGAAAGCACATGCAGGCGAGGAAACTTCAGCAGTGTCTCTCCACTCTTGAAAATCTTGAAAGCAGTTGTGTTCACTGTTGTGTTCACTGTTGTGTTCACTGTTGTGTTCACGTTCACTGTTGGAAGCTATTTGAGTTAAGTCATTTCAGTGAACAGGTTCGCCAAAGGCGCGACAGCGTGAAGCACAACCGGGTTTGCTGTTGCCATTGCTGGTGGAGGACTTTTGTGATCTTTTGTGCAGCGAGATTGTTGTGCACACGGACTTCGTACAATTTAGGAGATTTAGGGCCAGGAAAGAAAAGGTCAGATTGTATTGGAACTCTGCCGCTATCTATTTCATTCTATTTCAACATGCAACATGCAAACTCTGGAGTCACTCCAAAGGCACATGACTCCGCTGCTTTGGAGGAAATTCATGGCGATGTCATCCAGCGCTTCAACGAGGATTGGCGCCTTTTGGAAGAAGCTTTGCACGCCCTGTCTTCCCTAGCAAAGGAGCATCTTGGCAGGAATGTTCTGCGCTGTTCGAAGAAACTTAGAAACCCAGAGACTACGTCGTGATTACCCTACGCCGGCCTACGCAATCAATCAAATCCCTCTGCGTATCGCAACTTTTGTGGCAAATTTCAATGCCATCAGTGAAAAGAGGCAAAAACCCTCTCACCATCTCTCACCATCTCTCACCTCCCCACATCGCACTCAGGATCATGGTGATTGCATCGGCACATCCGATTGCTGGCCGCATACTTGAGCTACTACGTCTGCTTTCAGGCCGCACTGTGGACGAACTCTGCGATTTGTCTGTGATTTTATGTATATAATTATATAATCATTATCTACATGATCTACACACTACATATTGTATGAATTTATCTGCCCTCAAACCTAGCTGCATCTACCTCAATATCTCAATACCCATTTGATCCCATTCGGCTATTTGCCTTCCTTGCAATCTACATGTGTATTTCAAAATCTGTCTGTAAATGTTGAAAAAAATGTAAATGCTCGACGAGCTGCTCGACGTGGGACAGTTTCTCAAATTTCTCAAATTTCTCAAGGTGTCAGATGTGCACAGCATTCCGTTGTGAGGTGACCAGAGCCCACTCTTGCGCCCTGGATGCCATCGACAGCTGATCTCGATTTTCATGCAATGTGTTTCTTGACACAGAGATGCTATGAGATGCTGGGAATTTTAGGGATGTTTCTTGGGATGTTTCTTGGCAATTGGACTGAACTTGGCTGAACATGGCTGAACTAGATTTGAAATCATGTTTTGACCACTTGGAGCAGAGGCTGCCGTCTTTGGGCCTCTTTGTGCCACTGACGACACGTTGGCCAAGACGTTCGCTTTGGCCAGGGCGTCACTGCAGATCCCAGAGGAGGTGCCCTGACAGGATCACCAGTTTTTCAACTGGTTTTCTTGGACTTTGACCAGTGTGCAAAATGTGCAAAATGTGCAAAATGTGCAAAATGTGCAAAATGTGCAAAATGTGCAAAATGTGCAAAATGTGCAAAATGTGCAAAGTGTGCAAAATGTGCAAAGTGTGCAAAATGTGCAAAATGTGCAAAATGTGCAAAATGTGTAAAATGTGCAAAATGTGCAAAATGTGCAAAGTGTGCAAAGTGTGCAAAGTGTGCAAAGTGTGCAAAGTGTGCAAAGTGTGCAAAGTGTGCAAAGTGTGCAAAGTGTGCAAAGTGTGCAAAGTGTGCAAAGTGCTTCGATGGGTTTTTCATAATGTGCGTTTTATGCTTCGTTGCGTGGCATGGCAGGTGAAGGATGGCCCTGATGCAGCGTATCCATTTCGTG